TCTTCATAAAGGCTGCCGGTGCATTGGTTAGTCCGAATGGCATCACTACGAACTCATAGTGGCCATATCTCGTCCGGAAGGCCGTCTTCCGAATATCAGATGGTTCTATCGGAATTTTATGGTATCCCGACGCCAAGTCTATCTTTGAGAACCACCTAGCGCCTCCGAGTTGGTCCAACAGCTCATCTATCCGGGGTAATGGATATTTGTTCTTAATCGTAACTTTATTCAATCCCCGATAGTCAATGCATAGCCTAAAGCTACCATCCTTTTTCTTTACAAACAAGACCGGTGCACCCCATGGTGAACTACTTGGTCTAATAAATCCTTTATCCAACAACTCCTCCAATTGTTTCTTTAGCTCCGCCATTTCTGCCGGTGCCATCCGGTATGGAGCTTTAGATATAGGAGTTGTTCCCGCTTCGAGTTCAATGGTGAATGGATCAAACCGGTCGGGTGGCAAGCCACTCACGGCCTCAAACACATCCGAGAACTCTTTTGCGATCGGAATATCTTTCAACTCCGCACTTGCTCCAACTTCGTGGGTTGTGATCGTGGCTATGTATGCCTCACACCCTTTCTCAAGCATCCTTTCCGCTTGGATTGCCGAGATTACTAAACTTCCCGAAGTTGTCCTTATTCCTTGGAATTTCAACATTCCTTCCTCCCTCTCAAATTGAATCCGTCCTCGGTGACAATCTATGTGTGCCTTATACTTTCCCAACCAGTCCATACCCAAAATAACATCGTGTTTCTTGAGTTGGAAGACGATTAGGTCCGTTGGCATATTTACACCGTTGACTACAACCGAGATTTCCCGAACAACACCGGACGGATACATTACTTGTCCGCCGGCTGCTCTAACCATTCCATATTCGGTGTTTGGTTCTTTCTTGAACCCACCTTTTTCAACCATCTCGGAACTCACAAAACAATGTGTAGCTCCGGAATCAAATAAGGTATGTGTTTCTACATCACCTATACACAAGGTCCCTACACATTCTCCTAGAATGCTGAGTATCCCAATCCGTTTATGCATGATGCGATGCGATTTACGAATTAACATTAAGATCACAAAGACTTACCAGTGATCGCCCTGAAGTTTCCGGCATTGTTAGCATCTTCCGACAGTTCGTAAACTCGTGGTGCTATGGCCTGCCTCTTAGGCGGAGGCGGTAATCCGTTTCCGCTCCGGTTCGCCTTTTGTGCGGCTTGCTTTTCCACTTCCAGCTTCGGACACTCCCTCTTAAAGTGTCCCGCTTTCCCACAATGGTAACAAGTCCTTGGTTCTTCAGCGAGATCTTTTGGTCGCCCCGAATCCATCCTTGGACAATTTTGAATCCCGTGGTCCTTACTTCCACACCGGCCACATGCACCAATGGCCTTCCAGCAAATCCCACCATGATTCTTTCCACAAGTCAAGCATTCTCCGCGCTTAGCTCCCGACTTAGTGTCATCCACCTTATCCCATTTCCTCTTCTTATCCGCGGACTTGCTTGGTTGGCTAGAACGATTCGAAAACTTCTCACGATTCATGAGTTTTTCTTCCTCAATTCCGATTTCGATCATAGCCGCCCTTTCCACCAATTCGGAGACCGAATTAAAGGTACGGATTAAGCAATGGTTACGGATCTCCACCCTTAACCCGCAGATGAAACGGCGCACTTGAGACTGCTCATCCTCGAGCTCTCTTCCCACATATCGCCTAAGGCGATTGAACTCTTCATCGTATTCTCGCACCGTTCGGTTGCCTTGTATCAAATCCAAGTAGGCACACTCAAGCCGATCCCATGCCTCCGGAGGGAAAAACTTCTTGTTAAACTCCTCCTCAAAGTCCGAAAAGGTTTGGATTTGATCACCCTTACGTTTCTCCACGGTCAGCCACCAGTTATGCGCGTCTCCTTCCAAGAAGTGAATCGCAATGTCCTTCCGGTAATCCTCCGGGCACCGAGTGGAGTTAAAGTTTCTTTTGAGCCGAGTCCTCCACTCATCCGCCACGATCGGGTCGGAACTCCCCGTGAAGTGACTTGTTCCCAACTTCGAGACGTGCTGGAGTAAACTCAAGTAGTCTCCCCTCTTCCTTGAAGAGTTCGTAGGCAGATTGACTTCGACAATCCCCACATCTACATCCGCATCTACGTCCGTTTTGTTCTCCTTCACTTGCACCACAGGATCCGGTACAAGTGCCTTAGTTAATGCGGCTATTTGTACCATCATAGCCTTCATCGTTTCCCATTGTTCTTGGGCAGATGGAAGTGTGTTCGGATTCTCCTTCCCATCCGTTGCACAACTGTTTTCCGGAGTTTGATAAACCGGAGACTTTTGTCCAGCCACAGGTCCGGCCGGAATTGCCCCATCAAGCGTTGCTTCGACACTTGTTTCCTTGGTAACTTGTGTCTCCTCGGCAACCAACGTCTCCTCTACGACGTCCTTACCCTTATCCTTATCCTTCTTACTCTTTCCCGTTTTGTTGCTCTTACCCATCTGCGAATAACTTCAAAGTTAGTTACGATAAGTCATAGTAATTCGCAAGAGAGTAAGAAACAACTACCGTGAGGACTCATAAGCCGATGAGTGGTGATTCCCAAAACCCGCACTAATGGTCCTAGAACCAAGCATGCTCTGATACCAACTTGAAAGACCCCGATCCGGACTGCCTAAGTCCGGAGAGGTTCTCTCCGACCAAATCATTAAGTGATCCGATCCTTAGTCAAATTTTAGGGCCATTTTCTTAAGACAATCCGTTTTACGATATTCTGAGATTCATTACTTAGAGTCAATATGCGATAATAGAGTAAACAAAGAATCGGATACTTTATTAGATACTTAAAAGGATTCGATACAACTTAAGAGTTTGCATATAAGCTATTACAAGTCATATAATCGATCCTATTCTACCCGATTCATCACCACCCATCTTCCCGGCCTTGAGTCTCTCACGCCTAAGCCAAGTCCTTCCCACGATCACCATCCTTTCCTGAGAGTCAAAGAGGCATAAGTATCCGTTTTACTTATTATATGCAAGTCCATGCAATGCTCTCTAGGCCTTTTAACCACCCAGAACGAAGAACAGATCGGAGAGTGGAAGTATGCGCATCAGTTCGGCCGATTCACGGTAGATCTTCACAGATCCGCCGATCCTCCGCCGAGCCGCATCCCCATTTCAACCGATCCGCCATTCGAACCAAGTTTATGCATGATATGAATGATTCCCCGATACTACAATATCACCCTAATCGTTCCGGACTTCTTCTAAGTCATCGGAACAATCCCTAGGCTAGATCGTACGTATCAAATCTCCTTAGGTTCGGACACAAAGTCTAGAACCGTCTCACCTTCGATCGCACCGATCGTAACCCTCTCTTAAGTGTTTTCTCTCAAAATGTTCTCCGAGAGTTTCTGTATTTTTCCCTAAGTTTTTCCGTGTCTGAAATCGTCCCAAACGCCTTGTATTTATAGAGTTTCGTTCAGAAACCGTTTCTCTAACCGTTCTCTAGAAGGCGCCCATTCGGTCCATAACCGCCCGTTGGTAACCGTCATCCGTAACCGCCCAACCGCTCTTCCGTAACCGCCCAACCGTCCTTCCGTAACCGCCTAACCGTCCAACCGTCGGACAGTTACCCAAGCTTAGCTGAGCTACCCGGTAGCTAGTCGAGCTAGCTGAGCTACTCGACAGTTACCCGAGCTTAGCTAAGCTACCCGGAAGTACTTCGAGCTTAGTTGAGCTGTACGGGAGCTGGTTTGGCTACTTAACGTTCATTATTCACCTTATCCGAGCTGATGGGCAGCTCCAATCTAGACTTGTCCGAGTTTCTCCTCCTTTTCTCGGACCAAGTCTCATCCGACGATCCTATTGAGGATCACGGGCGTTACATTATCATTGCGTCTCTTTCTCGTCCTTGTCTGTATGATCCGTTTTGGAAAGAACCAAAACGTCCACGGCCTCTTCCTCTCCAATAATTTCGTCCTCCTTGACCCCTACCTCTGTTATTTCCATAGCTTTCTTGTCTTGAATCTGTGTTAGCGTACATAAGTTTACCACTATCCTCTTGCTCTTCTTCTTCTTCATAAATTCTTTCTTCATAGACCTTTAATCTACCCACAATATCCTCAAACGTTGTTGTGTTAAGGTCGAGTACTTGCTCAAGAGATGCCACGATGTGTATATACCTTTTCCGCGGAAGTGATTTGAGGAATTTCTTCACAAGCTTTGCTTCGTCGATGGTTTCTCCAAGGGCTGCCGAGTTTGATGAGATTTCAGCAAGTTTTCCAGCAAAAACATCCACCGTATCTCCATCTTTCATCTTGATTTTATCAAACTCAGTCATCAAGGTTTGCAGCCTAGCTTCTCTGACTCTCTCCGCACCAACGTGTCTCGCCTTTATTGCATCCCAAACTCCTTTTGACGTATCATGCTCTCCTACTTGTAGAATCAAAGCTTCTGGGATAGATTGAAATAACAGAGCAGTCGCCATATTGTTCTTGTCATCATCTTTATTTCCAGTTTCTATCGTATCCCATACCTTGTTTACTTTAAGAGCAATCTTCATTCGCATAGCCCAGACTGTGTAATTGGCTGCGTTTAGCATCGGACACTTAACAGAGGAAAGTACAATCTCCTTGGCAGAGTTGACCTTGATCGACTCATCTTTCTCATCAACGTCACTCATATCTTGTTTGATGATTTTAATCTTCGAAGACTAATGAATCAAAACCGCTCTGATACCAAATCTAGTTTGGCAAAAGCTTTAAGAACACAAAGATCAACAAAGAATAACTCTCTTTATTAATCACTTAGGAAAATAACTCAAAACCTAAGCACTCAATCTCTATTCTCAAAACTCATAAGTTATGCTACACCTTAGCATCTTCTTATATAGAGAAGAGTTTTCCAATTCTCAAAAGTAAAACTTACATATTTAGATAACTCCTAAATAGTACTTTTCCTAATCTCTCTCAAAGATAACTTATTGTTCAAGTAACTTCAAGCTTAGGCCAACAATAGCTTGTACCCATCTTTTGACACCTAAACAAAGAGAGATGTGGAAACAAAGGATCAAAGAGGAGTCAATTACTGTATATGACAGATTTCATTGCCCAAATCCAAGTTGCTGGGCTTTGATGTCGAAAACCGAGCTCATTAAATCTACTGACGATGGAGTTAGGAGACACTGCTTTAAATGCTGGAAACCCTTTTGCATTAATTGCAAAGTTCCGTGGCATAGTAACTTGTCTTGCAAGGAATACAAAAGATCAGGTCAAAAGCCTACTACAACAGTGTGGCGTCAATGTAGAAGTTGCCAACACATGATAAAACTATCGTAAAACTCACCACTGTTACTTGCAGGTATTTTTATCTCTAATCACATTCTATAGTTATTATGATTTTCGAATCCTCTTTGAAATTTGATTTCGTTTTCGGCTACCGTAATGTTCATGGTTGATGTGTAGGTGTGGCTATAAGTTTTGCTATGCATGTGGAGCCCAATGGAAGCATGGAGGTTGCTCTCATCATCACCAAGCGGTGATGGATTTGATGGACGCTGCTATAGTCTTCATTGTCTTCATTTTTCTTTTTTGCCTAGGTTTATTAATTATTAAGCGCTAGAGGTTATGGTTGTGGTTTCTTTTATTAAGCGCGTGACTATTTAGATGGATTGGTATGGTATTTAGTCTATGTGTTTGGATTAACACATAGATTAATAGTTGTTGTTTCGAAACACTTTTCATCTCTTTTTGATTTGTTTAATTTTAGAGTTTTAAGATTTATTTTAATCGTATGCTACGTTTTCGGTGATATTTGATATTCAGATAATCAATTATTTAACTATTTCTTACGCATATTTTGAAAGCCTTAAAAAAAACTAAGTCAAAACCTAAAAGGGCATTAAAGAATAACAAGGATATTAAGGGAAAACCTACGGAAAAAGGATTAGTAATGAATTAATTATCTTTAGCAACGTAATTTCAAAAGTAACATATGTAACGAGAATCTACCGAGAATCGGGTGGGAGTACTTAAATGAATCACTTTCCTTAAAACTAACAACATTTTCCTACATTAAAAGAAACATAAATATTTTTCAAGATGAAAAGACAAAACTGAAGATGGTAAACGCCCTTAGTGTGACACTTGGGATGTATAACTTTGTTCGCATTGACAGATTAACCAGTGTTGCGCTGGGGAAGACTATGGATGGGAAATGACGCTGGGGCAAGGATATTATATGTAGATGAAGCTCAGGGACACCGTGTTCCAATGCATTACATATCCAGCGGTCAATGAAATCTCCATCTTTATATGTATCAATAAGTACTTTAAGTGACAATTTCTTTAGATGGTTCCTTTAAAAGCCAATGATCTGTTCACGAATTCCATGAAACTCTTCTCTTGTTCAAGCCTTTCTGAGTGCCAGAAGTAGGAGTTGTCAAAGTCGAGATTATGTCGGAAACCAAACAGAATTCTCCACCTCTTAGAGACAAGAGAGGTTAACGCAGCTTGTTTTGTGGGAAGTAAGGATAAGATTTGGTAAGAAGATCATCCGGAAGAAAATCCATCGAAGCCATAGAGATGGAACCCATCCCTAGTGGTACCTAAAACATGAGAAAGAGAGAGCCTTAGAGCATGTGTAGTGGGAAAAAACCCTTAGTCTCTCATATATATTATTTTAATAACTTTTATGTAAAAACAATTTTATTTAAAATTTAAACTATAAATAAAACTCATAATCAATGATGTTGAGACATGTGTCAAATGATTCTTTCACAAGGTTCTCACACTTTATTTTTTTTCTTACTTTTTTGTTATTTTATATTTTTTTGTGGGTGAGAGACTCATTGATAGTCTACCACTAAACATTTTCTTATAATTAAATTGATATATAACCCGTATAATTGTAAAATCTAAATCCAAATTCTTTTTTATAAACCAAAACCGATATTTAACCTCGTTTAATTGTAAAATTTAAACGCTAACCGTCTTTTATAAACTATATATAATTTATTTATTTTTATTAGGTTACAAATTTTGATTGGTTAAAAAACGAGGGAGTGAATAAAAGGGTGCACCCCTAGCGGTGAACCCAAATTTTTTTTTTTGGTTTCCAACTCTATCGAGTTTAGGTTGCTTATACGGTTTTAATTCCTCTCTGTAGAGTTTTTTCTTCAAAAGGATATTGTCACAAAAGATAACAAAAAAAAAAACTTTGTATCTTGATCAGTGCTGACTTGCGCAGCGAAACATTTTAGTCGTTAATCACACACTAATACTTTCTGTCCAAATAATTTAGAATCTGACATCACTTTGGAGGACTACAGTCTACAGGTGGTGCACTTGCAATTGCTGAGGGGAGTGTTTGGGAATGAGAAAGCACAAAGCTAGCTGCCTGGTACAGTCGAACAGGCCGTCTCATTGCAGAGGTCATGAGTTTCGGTACGTGATTTTGTTGAGTGATATTCAGTCTCAACTCTTCCTCATTGGTTCTAATTTTTTAATCAAAAATATTTTACTTTTTTTTTTTGGCTAAATGACAACAAACTTACTATTATATTGACATATTGTTTAGATACTCAATGGGTATCTTAACCAATGGAAGCCCACACTTAGATGAGTTTCTCAGCTTAATCTAAACTAAACATAATATTATTTTATTAGTTAGATACTTAATGGGTATAAAGTATAAACTAATGGAGGTGTTGTTAGGTTAACTTTTTTCTTAAAACCTAATTTCCTTTTGCTTTTAGTTGGAGCCGCCTCTGCTCTATATGTATATTCTACGAGGCATAAAACCTATTACCTTATAAAGACTAAAGGGAAGCAAAAAAAAATCTGAAAGTATGCACAGAAACTACATGAAGGAAGAAGGCGTTCGAGTACGAGAAGAAGTCCCAAAACCCGCCGGAGAACCCTCACTTTACGGTTCAAGTTCTGACTCGCACAGCCTTTACTTCAAGGGTTTGATAAGCTTTCAGACAACAACGGGTTTATTGGCTGGATTTGGGGTTGCAATTTGCAGAGAAGAGGATGATAGTTTCTTGTTTAAGAACAAGGGTTCACTTAATTACTCCGGCATTACAGGTTGGGAGGCTGAGCTTATGGCATTGAAGCTAGGACTAGCCAAAGCCGTGAGTATGAGGATCAATCATATCTCAATTTATTTTGATGATCCTGAGATTTTTGAATTGGTAAGTTTTCTTGGCTGATAAGTTTCACATGTGTTTGCTTCAATATCTTAATTGATTGATGCTTTGCCTTGAATAATTAGGTCATGGGGAGATCTGTGCCTAAGCATGAGAAAATCGCCATGCTCATAGATGATGTGCAACGCATCAGACAACAATTTACATCTAGCATCCCTATTCTTGTGGCTAGAAATCAAACTGAGTTTGTCTATAAACTTGCCAAGGAAACAATAGTTTCTAACACCAGCATACCTATGCGTCGTGGTTCTCAGAAGAAGACTTGTGGTAACTGCTTTCACGATGATGTGGAAGGTGAGAAGATGTTTTCCGTTGCTTTATGCAGTCATCACTTCTGTGTGGACTGCATGAAACAACATATAGAAGTTAGTCTAAACGAGGGAGTTGTACCGAGATGTCCTCATTATGGCTGCACATCAAACCTAACACTTAAAATCTGTGCCCATCTTTTGACACCTAAACTAAAGGAGATGTGGGAACATAGGATAAAAGAGGAGTCAATTCCTGTATGTGACAGATTTCATTGCCCAAATCCAAGGTGCTGGGCATTGATGTCGAAAACCGAGCTTGTTGAATCTACTGAAGATGGTGTTAGAAGACACTGCTTTAAATGCCGTAAACACTTTTGCATTACCTGCAAAGTTCTGTGGCATAGTAACTTGTCTTGCAAGGAATACAAGAGTTCGGTTCAAAAGCCTACTACAACAGTGTGGCGTCAATGTAGAAGTTGCCAACACATGATAAAACTATCGGGAAAATGCATCAATGTCACTTGCAGGTATTATCTCTAATCACATTCTATTGTGATTTTTAAATCCTCTTTGTAATTCGATTATGTATTCGGCTACTATAATGTTCATGGAATCATGGTTGATGTGTAGGTGTGGCTATAGGTTTTGTTATGCGTGTGGAGCCCAATGGAAGCTTGGAGGTTGCTCTCATCATCGCCAAGCGGTGATGGAACTGGTGGTTGGTTTAGTCCTCATTTTTCTTGTTTTCATAGGTCTTTCAATTATTATGCCCACGGTTAAGTAGATGATAATGATCAAGTACTATTTACATGGATTGGTATGGGATTTTAGTCTATGTGTTTGGATCAACACATAGATGAATAGTTGTTGTTTTGAAACACTTTCCATCTCTTTTTATTTGTTTAATTTTAGACTTTTAAGATTTTTTTAATCGTATGCTACGTTTTCAATGATATTTGATCTTCCAATGATCAATTATTTAAACTATTTCCAATAAAATACGCATGTTTTGAAAGCCTTAATTGCTGTGGTTCTTATAAATTTGCTTGTAAATCACTGCCAAAAAAAAAAAAATTTGTAGCTTGTAACACTTATATATATTCCCTCTATTTCACAAAAAGTGTTGTTTTAAGGTTTTATTTTTGTTTTACAAAGAGTGTCGTTTTGTATTTTCAATGCAAAATTTTGAATAAAAATCCAATTTTAACCTTATTTCTTTAATGTATTAATAAGAGAGATAATTTTGTTTAGTGTATTGATAAGGGGTATAATAGAAATTTTAATAGTTTTCTTAATATGTGTGAAAAAATGTAGAATGATATTCTTTGTGAAACAGAGGGAGTAGTACTTAGATAATTAGTATTTTATAAAACATCTCAATAGTATGATTAGTTTGGAAGCAAAACTCTGTGTTGATACTTCTATAGCTCTTGATTGGGACCTATCATCCATTACATTGAAGAAGAGTTTACAGAGTCATTAATAGAAAGAAGAGGGTTTATATGATTCGTCGAAGTATCAAACCCTAAAGCAACCAAATCAAAGCCCTAGACTTGCATAAAAAGAAAGTGCAAACTCTCGGATGGTAAACCACTCTGGTGGTGGTGCAAACGGCTATTATGGCGTTGGAGGATAGATATGGAGACCACCATGATAGCAACCTCCAGCCTTGGCTCCACATTGGTAGCAAAACTTATGTCCACATCTACAATGAAAGAAATGCTAAATCAGATTAAAACATAATTATAAAAAGAAAAAAAAAACAGATAAAAACATATAAAGAAATTCGAAAGGAAAATGTTATTAATAGAGATGATACCTGCAAGTTACTTTGATACATCCTTCTGAACGTTCGATCATGTTTTTGCACTTTCCACATTGACGCCACATATTTCTATTTGCTAAAGCTTTGAACTTTATATCATCATCATTAGTAGGATTTGGACCCAATCTCTTGTAATCGTCGCACGACAAGTCACTATGCCACGGAGCTTAACAGTTGATGCAAAAGGGTTCGCCGCATTCCAAGCAGTGTCTCCTAACTCTAGCTTCTTTAGTATATTTGAAGAAGTATCTCCTAACTCCAGCTTCTTTAACAGATTTAGAGAGCTTGTTTACGGACATTAAAGCAGAGCACCTAGGATTTGGACAATAAAATCTCTTTGTTACAGGAATCGAGTCATCTTGAATCCTTTGTTGCCACATCTTTCTTAGTTTAGGTGTCAAAAGATTGACACAGCCAGAGCCGGCCATGAGGCCAAGCAAGGCAAGCTTGTGCTTGCGGCCCCAAATCCCCCATATATATAATCGGCCACATTTTTAACAATAATGTTCAAGTAGTCTAGTTGTTTGAAGTGTGTTATAATGTGTGCAGATGACCAGTTCGAATCCACTAACTCTGTTTTCAATGTTTTTTTTTTTTTTTCATTTTTAATATTTTCTTACAAATCATAGGCTTAAAATTATTTTTTGTAGCTTGTGGCCTTCAAATTCTCAGGGACGGCTCTGGACACAGCTTTCAAAAGTCAGCTTAGACTTGCAGCGGTAATGCGGACATCTAATCACACTTCCCTCGAGTAGCCTCACCTCTACATGTCGTTTCATACACTCAAAACAGAATTGATGACGACATATATCAACACAAAACATCTGATTAGCGTCAACATCATCATCTAAACAAATACTGCAAGTTGTCTTGCGAGTAGCCATGGCTTGGTGAGGAGGCTTCACATGCATGCGGATTTCAGAAGCAATTGCTTCCTTTGCTCGTATATAAGCATATCTGATACTATTTCCAGCCACAAAAACCCGAAAGCTCGACGCAAATTGTTGACTTATACGTTGCATATCAAAGATCAGAATCAGCGAGCAAAAGTGGTAGTGAAATCGAGGAAATTTTTTGAGAATAAAGTTCTCTTATAAACGTGAAATAAAAACAGTGCATATATGCTAGTCTCTTTAAACAGAGATCGAACAACTAAAGCAAAAGCCAAAAGGAAATTAAAGAATAAAAAGGAAACTAATAATTGTAACAAGGAAAAACCCTAAGCAAAAAGGATTAGTGATTCTCTCTCTATTTAAAAAATTATTATTTCCTTTTTTTTTATAACGAAAACAAAAAAAAATATATTTTATACCATCATCTCTGAAAATAAGAAAATCAATCGACACTTACCAAAAACAGTTGCAAATATAAAATTTTATGTAAAAGATTAGTAATTATCTCCATTTTTTAAATATATTTTTAATAATATATCTTATTAACCACGCTACTCTCTGTCTCCCCTTCTTCCTATAACTAAGATCTTTTGCAATCAAACTTGGGACTAACACAGTCATGGAAAGAGACGAAGTAGGCTTTATTTCGAAGAAACGAAGGGTAACCCAATCTACTGTAACAAGATATGTCGACAATGTCTACAGATTGTACTTCAAGGGTTTGGTGAGAAACGATATCGAGGACGGGAAAAAGACGGCGATGGCTGGATTCGGAGTCGCGATTTGCGATCAGATGGATGAGTTGTTATTTGAGATAAAGGAACTAGTGAGCGACGCCAAGATTAACAGCGAAGGAGTTGACATTAGGGCTTTGATTCGTGGGTTAAGTGAATCACTCAATTTAGGGATCAGAAAGGTCGTGATTTATTGTGATGATTATCAGATTTACCAAAATGTAAGTGTTTTCTCTACTTTGTTATTGCTTAGGTTTATATGCACCTTTTAAATGATTTATGAGACGAGAAGAAATTAGATGATTTTCCAATGCAGATAATGACCGGTAAAAGTAACCATAAGCCGGAAAGAGTTATTCAACAACTTATGGAACAAATCCAATGCCTTAGACAAAAATTTGATCTATGTGCAGCTATTCTGGTTCCTCAAAGCGATATTAAGTTTGCTTTTAAACTTGCAAGAGAGGCAATTGTTTCTCAAATCAGTGGCATCTCCAAGGTGAAAGGAGAAGTTTGTGTCATTTGTCAGGAAGAAACCGAGGCCGATCGCATGTTTGTTTTCGATAAATGTCTTCACCGTCATTGCTATTCTTGTGTAAATCAATTTGTGGAAGTGAAACTGGGTGACGGACATGTACCCACATGCCTTGATTATGAATGCAATTTAGAGCTAACTTTTGAAAATTGTAGCAAGGTTTTGAAACCCAAGGTGATTGAGCTGTGGAAACACAAGATGATTGAGGATTCCATTCCCGTTTCCGAGAGAATATATTGCCCATATGTAAACTGCTCGACGTTGATGTCCAAAACCGAGATATCTCGAGCTGATCAAACCTTTGATGGGTCAAATGTTTTGGACTCTTTTGCATAGAATGTAAAAAACCATCGCATTCTGATTTTTCGTGTGCTGAGTACAAGAAACTTCGCCCTGACCTTCTTGTTGATGACTTGAAGCTAAAGTCTCTAGCAAAGGACCAAAAATGGCGCCAGTGTGTCAAATGTGGGCACATGATTGAGCTTATTGAAGGCTGCAACCACATGACTTGCAGGTACATATATACATATTTAACTCGATTAAGCCATATTTCAAGACGAAATGTTCATATTTTATAATGTCAACGTGTCTTTTGTAGATGTGGGTATGAGTTTTGCTACGAATGTGGAGGTAAATGGGATGATCATGATCATGATGATTCTGATTCAGACTCACCTTCTTCTGGTTCTGAATCCGACTCACCTTCTTCTGGTTCTGAGTCAGACTCACCTTCTTCTGGTTATGAGTCAGACTCACCTTCTTCTGGTTCTGAGTCCGATTCTGAGTCCGACTCACCTTCTTCTGGTTATGAGTCCGACTCACCTTCTTATAGTTATGAGTCCGCCTCACCTTCTTCTGATTCAGAGTCGGACTCATCGTCCTCTGGTTCAGAGTCGGACTCATCGTCCTCTGGTTTGGATGAAAGCGGCAGAGAGAAGAGGAAGCGAAGAAGAAGAGCTTGATTGAGGATGTTTTGTTTTTCATGTGGTTCACATCTTGTTGTGTTTGGCTCTTTAATAATTCTTATGATGTTGCTAATAGAACGATTTCTTTTAATTACTATAAGGAAGAAAAAATCAAAGATGGAGGCTTGGTTAAATTTTCTACGTTCTCGTTACTCATCTCCATCTCGTCGATCTGATCAAAAATAAACTAAAACTTCTTCTGTATTTACGGAATATCTATTTTCTTTTGGTCTTTTGGTCTTTTATTTGGGTTTAAATTACTTAGGTTATAATTTTATTCAATAACATAGAAGCCTTTTTACAAAAAAAAAAAAAAAAAAAAAAAAACATAGAAGCCTTACTTGGTCGACAAGTTTTAGAAATTGTAATAATTTCTTAATCGTTGAAAAGAGAAAAAAAAAATGCTTGAGAATCGATGGTTACAAAAATTTGGATCCACTGAATAATTAAGAAGCATGTGCATTGGTTATGGCTTGGTGAGGAGGATTCATATGCATGCGGATTTCAGAAGCAATTGCTTCCTTTGCTAGTTTATTAACATATTTCAATTTGTTAATAAAAAATTGTTCCTTTCTTAACATATTTCAATTTCAATTTGAAGGACAATCGTTCCTTTCTTTTTCTCTCTTCTCTCTCCTCTGTTTTAGATCTAGGGTTTTCTCGAGTCGCAGCCGCCGTAGCTTTATGTTCTTCATCGCCGGTGGCTGGGTCAGGGTTTGAAGCGGTGGTGGGCGCCTTCTTCTCCGGTGATGTGTGGTGTGGTTGGATCCTCTGCTCGATGCAAGTTGGTGGCTCTTCTTCTCGGCTGCTTGGAGGTGCGGTTCCTGCGTTCTGCTGGTCAAGGACGCTGGCGGTTCTGGGACTGTCTCTCTCGGCTCGGTGGCTTCAGAGATGTAGCTCTGGCTTGCGGCGGAAGTTGGGCTTTGGATTGGTGGGTTTCATCACTTTGCGAAGAGATTAACGGTAGATCTTTGGCAGGATCTTAGATGGCTAGATGCGGGTTTCTTTGGCCGGATCTGTGTGGTTTGTGGATAGTTTGAGCCTCTTCCATCTGCCGCCGCCGTGTTTGGCTTTCTCTTCGCCGGATTTGAAGTTCGGTTTGCTCGGGTTGGTTCGAGGGTGCTTGACGGAGGAGGTAAGGGTTAGGTTTGTGTTCTCTCTTCTTGCTAGGTAGGGGAGAAGAGAGGAGAGGTCTCGGTTGTGGCAGATCTACCTTTCCGAGAGGAATGTTCCGGTTGTGGCGTGTTTCCGGCGATGGCTTGAGGCAAGAACCGCTAACTCCGGCTGATTGCTTGTCGTCGGATACTCTGTTGCTATGGAGTCGTCCTTGTTAGCGTCGGTCTTCTAGGTTAGATTTCGTGTTTTCCGGTGTACCGTCCGGATCAGATCTTCTTTTTCCGTCAATCTTCGATTTGGGCTTTTCCTATTTTGTACCCGTGTAATTTCGCTGGCCCAAAAGCCAAAGCCCAGTTTGGGATGAATTTAATATATATAAAAAAAGTAATTTTAAAAAAAAAAAAAAAAAAAAAAAAAAAAAACATATTTCAATTTGATACTATTTCTGGCCACAAAAATCTGAAAGCTCGACGCAAATCTTGCACTTATACGTTGCATATTCATCGCAAAGATCAGAATCAGCTAGTAGAAGTGGTAATGAGATCAATGAAAGGTTTGAGAAGAACGTTCTCTTGATTTTATAACCGTGGAAACAAAAAAACAGAGCATGATGCTCTTTAAATAGAGATTGAACAAAACTAAAGCAAAAGGCAAAAAGGAATTAAAGAATTAAGTAGGAAAAACAGGAAGCAAAAAGGATTAGTGTTTATCTCAATTAAAAACAAACATTGTAGCATCCTGCAAAGATTATAACATACAATAATGAGAATTTATCGATGTACATTAAACGGTGGCAAATATAAACAGAGATTTTTATAAAAGATTAGTGATAATCTCTTTATATATATATATATATATATATATATATATATATATATATATATATATATATATATATATCTTTATATAATAAGTCACAAGTCAATTCATAAAAAACTGCAACCTTCTCTTTCTGACATGTGTCTTAAGTCTCAAATTTTAGTCTTTCACTTTTTTTTTTCTAAACGTAAACCTAATTATTCAAAAAGCAAAAGAAAAAAAAATATTAGAAAAATGATGATCAATCGTTTTTTCAACTGCTTCGTTCCCATGATCTCAAAATGCTCCACTTCGCCTCTCTTCTTCAACAATAAGAGCAACAACATGATTTTCTACAAAAAAAAAGCCTCCACATCTCTTTCTTTTTCTATCAGATAAAAAAAAATTGAATTTGTCGTTCCATGTTTAAATTTGAGGGTTATCATCAATCACATGTATCTTCGTCTTTGCAATTTACAATTTGTTTTCACATTTCTCGAATCTGGCTTATTTTGTTAATCGCCGTTTTTATAATCATCAAATTCTCTATTTCTCAGTTTGTTCCCGTCTTAAATGATTGATTTTACTTTTGGATTTGCAGGTTTATGTTCAAGATGTTCCTAATTACGCCGTCGTTTTTTGAATCGAAATTCGTTCCGACAACTTTTAGACAGAAATCTATCACCCCAAACAGATGTTCTTATCTATAGGTACTTGAATATCAATTAGTACCAAATAATGTGAAGCTTATTTATGACCCGAAGTGAATTACTCTGCTCTAACCTTAGATAGCAGAGCCTCCTTTTGATTTATGATCTATACAGTTTCATCCAATTCTATTTTCTTTTATTGTCAAACTAATAGTTGGTTTGTTCAACTCTATAAAGATCTATTTCTGTTACCATCCTGTCTATTAGTATGATGCTAAGATGTTAAGAGTTTAAAACTTAGCAAAGTAACAAACAACAGATATATCCATTCTCGACGTTTTTTTTGTTGTGTTCAAATAAATTGCAAGTTTTAATTGTGGTGGTACATGTAGTAATATGAAGGTTGAAAAACATTAATAAGAGCGTAACTTTTGTCTGCATTTTAGACTTTGTTTAAAACACACAACTTTTGTCTACGTGTATACTTTGTTTTGCAGAGAAAACTCTTTCTACAAGTGATGTTTGCTTGGAAAAAATGATTTATAATAACTCATCCGTTTATATTTTCATTGATGTTTTGTTTCAGGATTACAAGAAATGCTAAAATTTTTATAGCAGATCAAGATGCATTTAACAACTCAAAACATAGCCTCAGTAAGAGCTTAACTACAGTGAATTCATAAACTTTGTATTTAATTGGTGGTGCCATGCTTCAAACTCAAGAACACAACACCATGGCCACGACGATGAACTATACTGACCAAAACACCACCAATTATCTGCACTCCTAAACTCTTCACGCTCTCTCAAGAACAAACCCACATTTTAAGGTATACATTAAAATTGATTTTCATTTTGTTAATATAACAACATGTGACAGAGATTTATCTTTTAAGATTGAAGTGGTAAAGAAAAAAATTAGTTGGTTTATCTGTAAGTTTGATTAAAGTTTTGCCCGTACGTAGTACGGGCTTAATACTAGTATCTACTAAATCAATAGTCACTTTTTCAATAACTGCAGCTTTCTCTATCTGCCACGTGTCATAAGTCTCAAATTCTCTTCTTTTACTTTTCTACGCCATTTTACTTATTTATTTGATAAAAATATATTCCCACAATTTTCTCCTTTTTTTTCACTTATCTAATTAAACTCACAACTAATCAAAAATATAAAAATCTTTTTCAATTCTTTCTTCCACGTTCCATTTACTCATTTATTTGAGAAAACATTTTTTCCCCACAATTTTCTCCTTTTTTTCCTCGTAACTAATTAAATTTACTATTAATCAAAAGTAAAAAAAAAAGACCTTTTCATTTCTTCCTCCCACGTTCAATTTTTTTTATAACAATTAATAGATCTGATTTTGCTTAAACAATGATTGTGATTTTAATCAAACAATGATTTTTTTTAATCTATAAATCAAACTTAGAATTGATAATTCATTTTTGTTTAGTCTCATTTTATTTTCATTAAATCTTTATGCCAATATAATATTACACATTACTATAATTAGTTTTTTTTTTAAAAAAATATCTAACATTTATATATTTAATTTATTCATCTTTATACTGTATATAAAAATGTAAATTAATTGTTAAAAATAAATTTTAATTATAATTTTACCCCATGCATCGCATGGGCCTTAATACTAGTATATATATATATTCTCAAACACGAGAGTACTCTCTATGCCATATACACTCAAATTAATTCCAACCACCTGAGACAAAACAATCATGGAAAGAGACGAATTAGGCTTTGTTTCGAAAAAACGAAGGGTAAGCCAATCAGCGTCGGCAAAATATGCCGATAATGTCATCCACAAATTGTACTTCAAAGGTTTGGTGAGTAAAGATATTGCGGCGGAGCACGGCAGGAAAAAAACGGCGATGGCTGGTTTCGGAGTTGCGATTTGTGATCAGAATGATGAACTGTTGTTTGAGATAAAGGAACCAGTGAACGACGCCAAAATCAACAACGTAAGAGTTGAGATTAGGGCTTTGGTTCGTGGGTTAAGTGAATCACTCGATTTAGGAATCAGAAAGCTTGTGATTTATTTTGATGACTCTCAGATTTACCAAAAGGTAAGTGTTTTTCTTTACTTAGTTATTGCTTATTGAGTTTATATGCACTTTAAATTATTCATGAGACCTTCAATTGGTTGGTTAATGGTTTAATTAATTAGTAGTGCAATTTCAGCTACGATCTCTAAACTATTCAAACAGTATTAATTCTGTCTTATGTTTAGCAATTAAATTAGATTATTGTGAACTAACTACAAAAGAATTTCTTATTGTAGAATGTTAAAGAGAAGCTATATAATATCTTGATATGTCATGATGACTTTGATTATGATGTTCTCATATTTTGGTTTAACAAGAGAATGAATCTCACTTTTCAATGCAGATAATAACTGGCAAATGTAATCCTAATCAGGAAAGAGTTGTCCAACAACTATTGGAACAAGTCCAACGTCTGAGAAAAAAATTTGATTATAGTAAAGCTATGCTGGTTGCTCAAAACAATATCAAGTTTGCTTTTAAACTTGCAAGAGAGGCAATTGTTTCTCAAACCAGCAGCGCCTCGAAGGTGAAGGGAGAAATTTGTGTCATTTGTCAAGAAGAAACCAAGGCCGATCGAATGTTCGTTATCGATAAATGCCTTCATCGTCATTGCTATCCTTGTGTTAATCAGTTTGTGGAAGTGAAACTGCGAAACGGAACTGTGCCCACATGCCTTGATTTTGAATGCAAGTCAAATATAAGTCTTGAAAGTTGTAGCAAGGTTTTGAAACCTAAAGTAATTGAGCTGTGGAAATACAGGGTGAAAGAGGATTCCATTCCTGTCGCAGAGAGAATCTATTGTCCATATGTAAACTGCTCAACGTTGATGTCCAAAACCGAGATTTCTCCATATGATCAATCCAATGATCGGGCATGTATCAAATGTTCTGGACTCTTTTGCATCGATTGTAAAGTACCATCGCATTCAGGTTTGTCATGTGCTGAGTACAAAAAACTTCACCCTGACCCTCTAGTTGATGACTTGAAGCTAAAGTCTCTAGCAAACGACCAAAACTGGCGTCAATGTGTCAAGTGTCGACAATTGATTGAGCTTAATCAAGGCTGCAACCACATGATTTGCAGGTACATGTATACATATTTAAATCAATTAAGACATAATTAGAGACTAAATGTTTATGTTTTAATATAATATCGTTGTGGCTTTTGTAGATGTGGATATCAGTTTTGCTACAAATGTGGAGTTGAATGGAAGAAGTGTCAAGTGACTTGTCCTACGGGTTGTCCACGTATTGGCCAAGGTAATTTTGATGATGGTGATGGACGTACTGATGAAGATGATTGGGATGATTTTTTTGTTGATGGTGGTTTATCTGATTCTCCCCCTATCCCCAGTTATGCTGATTATTATAGTCTCTATAGTCTATAGTCTTTGTCTTTGCATTAATACAAAGATTTCATAGTTGTAACGAAATACTCTGATGTAACCTCTGCAAGGTTTTCGGATTTTCTTTAATGTTATAAGGAATATTTTCATATATACAATTAGACAAGTTTTTGATTAGTGTCTTTTATCTTCTCGCTTTCTTTATATGTGGCAGATAGATTGATATTTGAAGAGTTAGCTTTAATGTATATTGATTAACCCAAACCGGACCAAATCATATATATTTGTTTTGTTAAAATTCGGTTCTCTTTTTTTCTAAAACAAAATTACCTTAAGCGGTGTTGGTCAACCTGTTAGAAAGAAAATTACCGAATGAGAAAAGAAGTATGTTCAAGTAGATCTCGAGACCTCATAATAATAAGAGTAATTACACTGCATACCTTAAGACTGAGAAGTATTTAAGTCAAAGGAGCAGTGGCACGTTCGTAAATAATGTGTGTGTTTGGTTTGTCTTGAAAAGACCATTATACCCCTATGCTTGTAGAGTCTAGCAGTTGCACCAGACATAATTGCGAAACGAAACCCTCGGCTTATGTGCCGTTTGATATTTGTTAAAAGCGACAGTTTCTCTTTTGCATTTATTGATTTCTGTTGCGTTTCTCTCTGTTGGAAACGTATAACGTGATACGAACATATATATCAGGACACGAAAGCATATAATGGGATGGGAGAAAGATATCGTGGTAAGATATCTCGTAGCTGTGATTTTTTTGTCTTGCCATAATTATTTTTGCATTTAATGCTACTTCTGTAGCAACTTGGGGCAGAGAGAATTGCCAAGCTCTATAAGTCTGTAGGTTCCGCCGTGATTTGCGTGTATCGGATAAACACATATATATCATGATACGTATCATGGTTGCAACACACTATCTCTGCGAGCATTAAATAAGTGGGGACCCACAGAATATTGCATGATATCCCTGTCCCCTACGAAATTCTCTGAGGGAAAACTCCCGCATTTTATTTCAGGGGTATTTTCGTCTGACTTTTTTGAAACCAAAGATTTCTCTCTCTTGTTTTGCAAAGAAAAAAACTTGTGTATGCCAAACCTAATTATTTCTCAAATAATTAGCATACAGCTAATTGACTCTAATAATAATGTATATAAAACCTTACAATTCTTACTTCTACATTAATTACGTGCCCGTCAAGTTTCCTAATTATTTTTTTTTTGTCATCAAGTTTCCTAATTATTAATTTCCTTTTTTTTTATACAAAGTTTTTAATTTCTGTTTGCTTAGGGCTCTTTCTTTCTTAATTACCCCTAATCTATTCTATGTTATATACAGTATTGAGGAGCCGCCTCTGATCTAATCTCTACGAGTCATAAACCCATTTTTATTTTCCTCATCACCGACCATTTGATATAATGTTGTTTTCCTAATTTCTCTTCCCATTTTTGTCTCTGAGCAAAATCACCCTAATTTTAATCACTTTTTAATCCTAAGATTTTGCTAAGATACCCGACATTTATACCGTTGTAGATGCTCTAAGTTTTGTATAACAAAGAAATTTATGTGACAAATTTTAATTGGGCCTCGGCATAAATAAAGCCCAATATTCAAGATAAGCTTCTCTAGAATTCATCTTCCGATGAGCTCCGCCGTCTGTCACAAACAAAAGAGCTGTAAAAATAGTTTGGTTGGTCCAGCACAAGTCATGTTTTCATAGACTCAAAGTTACTAAAATACCCTCATTATTTTCGATGTATAAATCGAAATAAGGAAACCACTGAGATCCAACGGCTGAAAATCAGGTTAGATCTAACCCTAATTAGAGAGTCGGTCCCTTCTGCAGCTATATAAAACCCAATGTTCAAGAAAGCGCTAGGCGCTAAACGGGCGGTGATCCAGTGCCTAGCGCCTAGAACGCCTAATCGGGGTCTAGGCGATTTGTTATGCGGTTTAGACGTTTATAACATAAAACATTATAAATATGATATTATATATAAAAGTTAAATAAAATATCTATATAAAACTAAAAAATATGAAATTAGAAACAAAAATATTCTCTTTGTTGTTGTGTTGTTGGGTTAGTACATTTGGTTGGCGCAGAGATCTGTTTTGTTTGGCTTGATTGGGTCTTATTCTTCGGCTTTTTGTATGGTTTGGCTATGCTTTCCGGGTTTAGTCCTTTGATGGCTCTTGATCTCTGTTTTGGGTTCCTAGATCTTATGCATTGATTGTCTCCTCTCGATTTTGTGTGGTTTCTGGTGGGCTAGGTTCGTGCTTGGGTTTGTCACTCGGATGGTTCATCGTTGCAGGTGCATCTACTAGCTCTCCTCTGAAACTCTTTATTGGTTTTAGTGGTTGGGTTCAAGGCGTAGCAGTGGTGTCGTTCTCCAATGCTTCTCTTGCGAGGTCGTGACCGGTCTTTGTCTGTAGATGGCTTTGATTGGTTCGCTTTGTCCGCGTGTAAGTGTTGGTGTTCCTTCTTGACTTTTCCTCAGTCGTTTTCAAGGGTTTCTTTGAGCTTAGTTTCGTCGTTGCTCTTTATCTTTCTGGAGTTGACGTGTTGGTGTTTATGGCTGGGCTCTGTTGCGGATTGGTCTCGCTCTCTGTTCTGTCGGGTTGTTGCTTGTTGTGCTCTTGGTTTTTCTTATCGAGGCTCATGTTTCTTGGCGCAGCTCCGATGCCAAACTGTTTCTATGGGACTTTTGCGGGATATGATGGATTGAGTTTCAATTTTAGATCTTTGGTTCCTTGTGTTTCTTGCTTTTTGTACCTTGTTACTCTAGTTTGCTTCCCTTGTTTGGGCTTAGTTTTCCGGGGATATCTTTGTCTTCCGCCGGCTTAGTTTTCCGGGGATATTTATGTTTTCCACCGGCTTAGTATTCTACCTTGTATTTCTCTTATGGTTAATCTAATGGAAATAATTCAGACGAAAAAAAAAAAAACTAGATAAAATATTTAATCATATTTATATTAAGTAATATATGAATATTTATAACTATATATACAAATAAAACTCTAATTGAAATTGAAAAACACATTAAACAAGATCAATGTAATTTTAGGTGGTCAAGGCGGTTATCTAGGCGTCGCATGAGAGCCTAGCGACTAGTCGGGACCTAGGCGACCGCCTAGACCGCTTTTTAGAACACTGATAAAACCCAACTCTTCCGCAGCCAGAGATCTAATTCGAAAATGGCTTTACCTTCTCCCCAACCAGTAGATCATAATCCTCTCGATCAATTAGTTAAAAACAGCTTCTCCGTCCGTAGCGATTCTCTCTTCGCCAGTAAGACCTCTCTCTCTCGAAATTGTTTACCGCAATTTCCCTATATTTCTTCGAAGAAGCATTAGATCCGCTTGTTGTTTTGCCTATTTGATAACTGTCTAGATCTGGATTATATACTTTACGTTTACCTTCTTATGGATACGTCGATGAATTAAAACCATCCTATGTAGATCTGATTCAGTAATATTCACCTAATCGATCTTCTAAAATCAGCGGATCTGTTATAGTAAATTAATCACTTGTATTCAAGTTTTTCTTTAATTGATTATGCGTTTTCCGTTTTTTACAGCGGGTACTATATCCGTATTATGGGACGTCCATGAATGCCCCATCCCTGCTAGTTTAAAAGTTCGTGATGTTTTCAATAATATCAAAAAGGTCCTTAGGAATAATGGTTTTTTTGGTCCTGTGGATATTAAACCTTATGTCAATTTGTTGAATATGGATTTGGTGGAAGTCTTTGAAACGATTCCTGTCAGTCTCCTCCCAGGTAATCTTTTACACTTTTAACACTTTCTTTAATTCTTCTTAAACCTTTGTGCATGTCGTGTACCTTGATATATCTTGTTGATATGTATGGTTTCTTTCAGGAGATAGAGGTATCAGACTTGATTACTATCTGATGCACTTCTTTATTCTTGCTATCGACAATGGTGGTTTTCGTCCATTTACTTTGGTACTAATCCTCGGAGACATCTCGGGGCTTGATGAATTATTCAGGGTGATTAATATATTGCAATCTAGATTAAGGTTCAAAGTGCTCATCGCACAGCCTCCAAGGGGATCGGTTCTGTCTTTAACTGAGATCGGGCTTTGCAATGGTCTATTAGCTGGACAAGACCTTCTCATCCAGAATTCTGTGGTGAAGCTCTAGTTTGGCTCCGTTCTTGCTCTAGTTTGCATTGCTTTTTTGCAAGAGTCTGTCTTTTTATTTTCTTATCATTGATGTTTGACGAGTTAGCTTTAATGTATATTGATTTACCCAAACCGGACCAAATCATATATATTTGTTTTGTTAAAATTCGGTTCTCCTTTTTCTAAAACAAAATTACCTTAAGCGGTGGTCAACGGTCAACCTGTTAGAAAAAAAAAATACCGAATGAGAAAAGAAGTATGTTCAAGTTGATCTCGAGACCTCATAAGTCATACTAATATATAAAACGTCTTACCAAAAAAAAAAAAAACAAAAATTAAAACGTTTACAATTCTTACTTCTACAACAATTATGCGTTTCTTTAGTCTTTGGAGAAATTAGTATTACTTGCACGACAAGTTTCCTTTTCTCTATCTTTCATCGTTTTCGTTAAGTTTCCTTTATTTTAATTTCCTTTCTTTTATATAAAAAGTTTTAATTTCTGTTTGCTAAGGCTCTTTCTTTCTTAATTACTTTTAATTTCCTTTTAAGTTTAGATATACAAAGAGAGACCCCTAATCTATTCTATGTCATATTGAGGAGCCGCCTCTGATCTAATCTCTATAAACTATGAGTCATAAATCTTTAAGTATGTGCAACAAATACATGGAGGAAGAAGGAACTCTAGAAGGAAACGATGGCCCAAACCCCACCGGAAAACCCTCACCGGGCGACTTCCATTCTGACACATACAATCTTTACTTTAAGGGTTTGGTAAGGCAGGAAACATCTGCTCAGTTATCAGCGGGATTTAGGGTTGCAATTTGCAGAGAAGAGGATGATTATCTCTTGTTTCAGATGAAAGGATCACTTCATGACTCCAAAGTTACAGTTTTGGAGGCTGAGCTTATGGCACTGAAGCGAGGACTAACCGAAGCCGTGAGTTTGGGGATCAATCATATCTCAATCTGCTGTGATAGTTTTCAGATTTTTGAATTGGTAAGTTTTCTTGGATGTTAAGTTTCACACATCATCTTTTTGGTTCAATCTCGTAATTGATGTTTTGCCTTGAATGTTTTAGGTCATGAGGAGATCCGCACCTGAGCAAGAGAACATCGCCTTGCTAATGGATGATGTACAACGCATAAGACGAGAACTGACATCTAGCATTCCTGTTACTGTGACTAAAAATCAAGCCAAGTTTGCGTATAAGCTTTCAAAGGAATTAATAGGCATACGTACGCCTCCTACTGAGAAGAAGACTTGCGGCGGGGTTAGTATCGAACCTGAACCCATGTTTTCCGTTGCTTTATGTCGTCATCAATTCGGTGTGGAGTGGATGAAACAACATATAGAAGTGAGGCTAATCGAGGGAGACGTACCGAGATGTCCTCATTATGGCTGCACATCAATCCTAACTCTTAAAAGTTGTGCCCATCTTTTGACACCTAAACTAAAAGAGATGTGGGAACAAAGGATCAAAGAGGATTCAATTCCTGTATGTGACAGATTTCATTGCCCAAATCCAAGGTGCTGGGCTTTGATGTCGAAAACCGAGCTCTTTGAGTCTACTGAAGATGGAGTTAGGAGATGCTGCTTTAAATGCCGCAAACCCTTTTGCATTAACTGCAAAGTTCTGTGGCATAGTAACTTGTCTTGCAAGGAATACAAGACGTTGGGTCTAAATCCTAAAACAATATCGCGTCAATGTAAAAAGTGCCAACACATGATCAAACAAACGCATAAAACCATCAATGTGACTTGCAGGTATCATCATTAATCACATTCTATAGCTATTATATATGAATGATTATAAACCATTTTTGGAATTTGATTATGTTTTCGGCTATTTAACATTGTGATATACATGGTTGATGTATAGGTGTGGTTATTCGTTTTGCTACACATGTGGAGCTCAATGGAAGCTTGGAGGTTGCCGTCATCATAGCCAAATGGTGGCGGATGTGTTGGTTCCCGGTTTTATCTTCTTTTTTCTTTCAATGATTATTTGCTCAATTAGTCGTCGTGTTTAATCCAAACACATAGATTAATAGGTGTTTTAATTCTCTTTTCCATCTCTTTCTTACAATATTTCTTTATTAAATTTGACAATTTTAAGATTTCATCTCTGAGGCTTTGGATTTTCCTTATATCTATATTTACTTTCAGTACTATTATTGCTCTTAAAATCTATAGAGATTAGTAGAATCACTTAAGCCGCATCAAAAGCACATTACAACGTTAAATACTGGAGTTTAATTTAAGAACAATTTTTGGGTTCACCCCTAGGGGTGAACTCTTATATTCACCCCTTTAATTAGTTTAACCAATCATTATTTGAATATATAGGATCACGTGAATGCAATCACTTTGTATAGGATTATGTATGCTTCTTGTTTTGGGTTTGTAATTATGTTGTTTTGACCCTCTTTTCATGTGTCTAGTCTCATGAAATCAATGTGTTTTTTTGTTTGTTTTTTGGTAAAACTCATGAAATCAATGTTCCTACGAAGAAGATGGAGTTGTCAATTTTTATTTTTACTTATTTTATTTGATTGAGTTGTCAGTTATTGTCAATTAATTAAGTACAAGAATCATATGCATTGTAAGTAGTATAAAACTAATGCAATCAATTAAGTTTGACTTCACCATCATCGGTGATGAATTTTCCATTACCAGGATTAATGGCAGCAAAGAAGAAGAAAGCAACATTTAAGAGGACGAGTGGTTTAATATCTTGAATTGGTATGGTCTCAATGTTGAGTTGCGCTAGTGCTCGTTTCCCAGTTATAAGCTTGCATTATGATTGTTTCTTGGAATATAAGGGTTCACCCCTAAAGGTGAATACAAGAATTGTTCTTAATTTATTCTTTAATCTTTAGTTCACATTTATTTTGAACTATATATATATATTGAAATTCATATGTTATAAAATAATAATGTATATATTAAAAGATTACCTTAAATCTAATAAAAAGTTTATTTTTCTTCAATGTTAATACTTCTTGTGAATAAACTTATCAACTTCTTATCTCTATTACTTTTCTCTGCACATTACATTCTAGTTCTTTGTTCTCATATCACACATTTCTAAACCAAGGATAATTTTAAAATCTCTAAGAAATCAGAATCTAATTCTCTTACCAACGAAGTATTATCATCAAATTAGTTTTATGTCAAATATTGTGTCAGAAGCAAGAAGTGGAAACTAAGGAACAACAAATTATTCAACAATTTGAGAACATTCATCATTTCACGCAAGAGTTCTAGTAAGCATATTACCAACTCAACTAGAAACTCTTTCACAAGCAGTGTTGACGTTTATGTTCTTACACACCTGATTTTTTTAGATACAACTACATTAATGTTTGATTAAGTTATGTAAATGAAGAAAAAAAAAAATTATGTACATGATTCACAACAAATCATTCACCAATATACTCATCTCTTTCTTTCTTTTTTGGCTATAAAAGCATAGAAATATGTTGGTGTGAGTGAACCAGCTAGGGTTAGGGCTGTTTTTTTAGGTCTAAGCAAACGTAGAGGTAATCTTCTGTTATTCTGTTGCGTGATCGTGTGGCCTCGAGCTCAGGCGAAGCGATGAGAGATAGGAAATACTTGGAGACTAAAGATAGAGTTGGACAATAGAATCTCGAGACACCAGCCAAACAATGGAGAACGAGGTCCTTCAGTAACGAAGAAAACAACGTCGCAGGAGGGTCTGGGAGCTAGGTTCTAAATGTAGGGTTTCATTAAAACATGTTTGTGAAATGAAATTTGACACTCATAACTCATTGAACTCTAACCAAATCTTGTCATTTTTTGTGGGAAATTCTCTATGGTTACCGATCAATCAATGATTCAATATCCATAAACAAAGAGATAAAAATACAAATACGAATAAAATGAGACTCAATTCAGTAACACTTACTCAGCCCGATTATCGGCTTCCTTAACAGTAGGTCCTCCTTCCTCTGCTTCATTATCGGCTTTGCTCACTTCTTTGCCTTTAGCTAAAGCAGTAGTGATCTGTATAGCTTCTTCTACAGTTGGTTCAGGTACCTTCACAGGCTGAAACCGTCTCTCCAATGCAGGATCTTTCTCAATGTGCTTCCTGTACACATCCAATGTTGTTGCACCAATACACTACAACCGTAAAAAAAAACATCGTACAACTTGAGTTTCCGGTTCTATTTATTGACATTTGACATCATTAGAATGATAAAAAGAATTGAGAAAATTTACCTGCAATTCACCTCTTGCTACAGCTGGCTTTAAGATGTTAGCAGCATCGGTCGCACCTTCAGCGGCTCCTGTACCAATGAGCATGTGCATTTCATCAATAAACAGAATTATGTCTTCACTTTGCCTGATTTCCTCCATAAGCTTCTTCAGTCTTTCCTCGGATTCTCCACGGTATTTTGTTCCAGCCACTAGAAGACCCTTATCAAGGGTTATAACCTGACAAAAAAAATACAAGTAAAATTGTGCATTCATTGATCACGGCTATTCCCCGCCACATTCTCTCAAACGCTAAGGAAAGAAAGAATTGGACGAGGTCAAGACCGTCATAAAAAGTAGAAGTAAATTACTTGAAACATACTACATATTTGTGCACTCTAACTAAGCCTCTTAAGTTCATTACAAATGATCCAATGGGAGATTATTTACCGTCTTCCCCTTGATTGTTTCAGGAACATCACCACTAGGGATTCGCTGTGCAAGTCCTTCCGCTATTGCTCTCTTTCCAACTCCACGTTCTCCAATAAGACACGGGTTGTTCCTAGTTCTTCGAGCCAAGATCTGGATCGCTCGTTCGATCTGTGGCTGCCTTCCAACAACCGGATCAAGTTTACCCTGCCATATAAAGAGAAAAAACAAATTTATCAGCAGAAACTTTCAAGCATAAACATGACACTCTCTTCAAGATGAGTACACATTTTTATTACCTCCTCTGCTAATTTAGTTAAGTTAGTCCCATACTCTTCTAGTGTTGCCATTCTGTTTCCGATGTTTCCTCCACCAACGCTTGATGTGACTTCATTGTTTCCCCCGACCATACGTATAACCTGCAAATGATATATGTATCCCTAAATGTAATCAAGAATTGGTTTACTAAGATATAACATTAACAAGAATAGGTGCATTTACCAGTGTCCGGATATTACTAGGACCTGCACCCAATATCTCCAAGACACGAACTGCAATACCCTCCCCTTCACGAAGTAGACCAAGCAAAAGGTGCTCTGAACCAATGTAGTTATGCCCTAGAATTTAAAATATATAGCAACAAGAGTGAAGTAAGCTTATGTCTTGAACAACACATAACAAGCTCCAAGCCTAAATATTAATAAATAGCAAAAGATCCTTACCAAGTTGTCGAGCTTCCTCTAGTGACAAATCCAGAACACGCTTTGTTCGAGGAGTTAAAGGAATCTCCAGTGCACAAAATCCACTGCCTCTTCCAATTATCTTTTCCACTTCCACACGTGAATCTTTAAGATTGATCCCCATGGATTTAAGAACCTTTGCAGCGATCCCAGTCCCTTCCCCAATTAGACCTAGCAGTATCTGCTCAGTCCCAACAAAGTTATGGCCAAGTCTCCGAGATTCCTCTTTAGCCAGCATAATGACCTTAATTGCTCTTTCGGTAAAACGCTCAAACATCGATTTGGGTATGCATCGGCTAGCTTTTGCTTTTCAGGTTGAGATTAAAACGAAATCTTGACCAGGCCTTGCCGTAAGATCTCTGGAAGCCCTAAACCCTGAGAAGCTCTGAATTCTCGAAACAGGTTTCATATTCGAACTAGGTTAAAAATTTAGGGTTCCTTATGATTCAAGTATACACAACCTTAAAAAAAAAAAGTATAAGGAACCCTAAAATTGATTGATTGATTGTTTTTGATTGATTGTTCCTTATGATATACTTTTTTTAAAAAAATGCTAAAATTTAAAATTACTAGTTTTAAAATAAATTTAAATTGGAGTTTTAAAAATGCTAAAAGACGTAAATCAGAGTTTATTTAAAAGTGGCTTCATAAAACAATCAATCAAAAACCTTCCAATGACAAACTTGCCCGACAAGTTTTCCTTTATTTTAATTTTCTATTTTCTTAGGTTTTTTTTCTTTTAAGTCTTAAAATTTAATACCCTTTTTGCGTTTAGGTTTTCGATCCCTATCCCTATATAAAAAGACTTTGTTACTTTCCAACAACTATGTCATATTCTCACGAGCCGCCGCCTCTGCTCTAGCTATATAATGCTGCACCATATATATATGAAGAAAGAAGGCACTCTAGTACGAGAAGACGATGGCCCAAAACCCGCCGGAAAACCCTCACCGGGAGACAGGGCCGGCCCAAACTATTTGAGTGCCTAAAGCAAAAAAATTTTTGGCCCATTAACAAAAGCTGTTATTAAAAAAAAATACAAGTTCTAATATGTATGGGATTCGAAACCGTGACCTGTACAACAATAAACTTCAATCTAACCACTAGACCACAGTAACATTTTAAAAATTAATGCCCCTAAAACTACTTATAATTATTTGATGCCTAAAGCCCTTGCTTCATGGGCTTTACCCATGGGCCGGCCCTGCCGGGAGACTTCAATTCTGAATCCTCCAACCTTTTACTTCAAGGGTTTCCTAAGGGAGGAAACAACAGGGTTATTGGCGGGATTTGGGGTTGCAATTTGCAGAGAAGAGGATGATAGTTTCTTGTTTCAGATGAGGAGATCACTTCATGACTCTGTCAATACAGTTTTGGAGGCTGAGCTTATAGCATTGAAGCGAGGACTAACAGAAGCTGTGAGTTTGGGGATCAATCATATCACAATTTACTCTGATAATTATCAGATTTTTGAATTGGTAAGTTTTCTTGGCTGATAAGTTTCACATGTCTTTCATTCAGTCTCGTAATTGATGTTTTTTTGCCTTGAATGTTTTAGGTCATGGAAAGATCCGCGCCTGAGGAAGAGAACATCGCCTTGATAATGAATGATGTGCAACGTATCAGACAACAATTGACATCTAGCATCCCTATTCTTGTGACTGGAAACCATCAATCTAAGTTAGGTTACAAGCTTGCAATGGAATCAATAAACATACCGTACATACGTATGCCTGCTGCTCATAAGAACACTTGCGGTATCTGTTTCAATGATAATATCAAAGCTGAGAAGATGTTTTCCGTTGCATTATGCCGTCATCAATTCTGCGTGGATTGCTTGAACCCACATATAGAAGTGTCAAAATAGGGATTGAGTTTGTAAAATATGCTTCTTATTAATTCTGTTCCAAGACCAAATGTCTTATATAGACGACGATATACATACGTTTAACCTAATGTGTTTTGTACAAGAAAGTAATTAAGTGGGCTAAGAGGCCTCATGGCCCAAGACCCCCCCGCAAGCTGGAGTATGGAGATTGCAAATACCCAGCTTGAGAATAAACGCTTCAAACTCTCGTTTTCCAAGAGCTTTTGTCATGATATCCGCAAGTTGCGACGTCGTCTTGACGTGTTTCGTAGCAATTGTACCATTAATGATCTCATCACGAACAAAATGAACGTCCCTACCAACATGCTTAGTACGAGCATGATAAACCGGATTCTTAGCCAAGCTAATAGCAGAGAGACTGTCTGAGTACAAAGTGATTGGTGCGTCACATTTAATACCAAGAGCAGGAAGAAGAGCGCGAAGCCAGAGAAGCTCACTTACAGTGTCAGCCATAGCGCGATACTCGGCTTCGGCGGATGAACGTGAAACAACATCGTGTTTCTTTGTTTTCCATGATATAGGAGAGCCTCCTAATTGAATAAACCATCCCGTGAGAGATCGTTGTGTCATTGGACATTTACTAAAATCAGAATCACACCAACCGGTTAGAACCAAAGTCGTGTTTGCGCGAAGGAGAATACCTTGTCCAGGACTTGATTTAAGGTAGCGAACAACACGTAAGGCAGCTTCCCAGTGAGCGGATTTGGGATCATGCATGAACTGAGAGAGTATGTGTATGGCATATGACAGTTCCGGCCGAGTAGTACCAAGATAAATCAACCTTCCTACAAGACGACGATACCTAGCAGGATCGGAGATGGTATCACCAGAAGCTAAACCAAGCTTGTGGTTTTGTTCCAAGGGATGAGAGACTGGTTTGACTCCTAGTAAGCCGGTTTCAGAGATGATGTCGATGGCATACTTTCGTTGACACAAATAAATTCCCGTAGGACTCCGAGCTACCTCTATACCCAAGAAATAGCGAAGAACACCAAGGTCTTTCATGTAGAAACAAGCACTTAGATATTGTTTAAACTCATTGATGATGGCAAGTGTAGTACCCGTAATGATCAAGTCATCTACATATACAAGGACGTGTAGCCGTGTGCCTTGTCTTTCAAGAGTAAAAAGAGAATAATCCGAGATGTCTTGTGTGAATCCATATTCTTTAAGAGCGGTAGTGAGCTTAGCAAACCAACAACGAGGAGCTTGTTTCAAACCATATAAAGCTTTCCGTAACCGACAGACCTTGCTTTTATCATCGGGTCGGAACCCCGGAGGAAATTGAATGTAGACTTCCTCGTCGAGATCACCGTGAAGAAAAGCATTGTGGACGTCCATTTGATGAACTTCCCAATCCATGGAGGCAACTTGTTGAAGGAAAGCGCGAATTGTAACCATCTTAGCAACGGGAGCAAAAGTTTCGGAATAATCAATACCTTCAGTTTGATTGTTACCAAGAACCACTAACCTTGCTTTATGGCGTTCAAGAGTACCATCCGATTTGTATTTGAGACGGAAAACCCATTTACAACCGAGTGCTTTCTTTCCTGGAGGTAAATCCTCAACAGTCCAAGTACCAAGATCCTCAAGAGACACAATTTCATCAGTCACTGCATTGCGCCAATTTTCATCTAAAATGGCCTCTTTGTAGCTATATGGTTCAGTACCAGAAGTGATAGCAAGAAGATAAGCCTGATAATTTTCAGAAAATTGGGAACTTGATATGTAGTTATCAATAGGATACGGAGTAGCTGAGGGATAAGGTTGATGCATAAGAGTGGTGACATAATCAGCTAATTTAACTGGTGGAAACTTAGCTCGCTTGCCTTTCCCGAGAACCTCAATTTCTGGTGATGCCGTATCAGACGACGAAGTGGAGGAATTCGGAGATACGGGAGAGGATGGAGCAGATGCCGTCGTCGTTGGAGAAGGGATCTCCTCAATATTGGAACTGTCGTCGTCGAGACTAGAAGAATCAGTGGTAGCAATTTCATTTTCATCAACGAGAACAGTGGGCAAGACAGAGGATGGCAGAGCAACAGTTGAAACCGGAGTTGCGGGAGCAGTGGTGACCGGAGTTTCTTGAGTGGTGGAGGATAACACCGGTGATGTGTTTGACGGATCATCAGCAAAAAATTCTTCCGGAGCTGACGAAGACAAAATATCAATGTCGGAGAGTTGGAAGTGAAACTCTGTTTCTTTAAAAACAACATCACGAGAAATGGAGATTTTACCAGTTTCAATATTGTAGACACGCCATCCTTTCTTTGCAAATGGATATCCGAGAAATATCGATTTGTTACTTCGACTTTCAAACTTGTCACCGTCGTGCTTTTGATTGTGAACATAGCAAATGCATCCAAAAACACGGATGTGATTCATAGGCGGAGGGCGATTATAAATCAGTTCAAATGGTGTCTTGCCGTTAAGAAGTGGAGTCGGTGTTCTATTGATGAGATAAGCTGCGGTAAGAGCACAATAACTCCAAAATTCAACCGGTAAGTGAGCTTGAAAACGAAGTGCACGAGCTACATTTAAAATGTGTCTATGTTTCCTTTCAACTCGACCGTTTTGTTGTGGTGTACCGACACAAGACGTCTCATGAATGATGCCTTGTTCAGCGAAGAATGATGATAAACAAACAAACTCCGTACCATTGTCACTCCGAATGGTTTTGATCTTAGTAGAGAATTGTCTTTCGACAAGAGAAATAAAATTCTTGAGATGCATTGGAGCTGTTTGTTTAGAAGGTAAGAGATACAACCACACTGCCCTTGAATAATCATCTACGATTGTGAGAAAGTAACTAGACCCGCAGATTGAAGTAGTCCTATAAGGACCCCATAGATCACAATGCACTAATTCAAAAGCAAACGTAGTTTTATTACTGCTCAAAGGAAAAGGATCCCTTGTTTGTTTAGCTCTAATACATATCTCGCAAGTCTTTGAATCAAAATCACTGCTACTAAAATCTGAAAACTGCAACATCTTTAAAGCTTTCAAGGAAGGATGTCCTAGACGACAATGCCACAACTGCGAAGAAGATGAATCCACTCGTGTCATTGTTGCTGCGGTCTCCATTCCTCGTAAGAAATATAATCCATTGTGCTGCCTACTAGCTCCAATCAGAGTCATAGTGATGCGGTCCTGAATAATACACACTTTGTCAGTAATTTGAAAGATGCAGCCTCTTGCTTTAGCTAACTGTGAAACTGAGATTAAGTGACAATGGAGTCCATCGACGAAGAAAACTTCATGGAGCTCTAGAGTGGAGCCTAAATGAACACGTCCGTGTTTTGTGGCTGTAGTGAACCTTCCATCCGGAAGTTTAATCAAAACAGGAGGCATATCGCATACATCACGTAAAAACTCAAGAGTTCCAGTCATGTGATTAGTTGCGCCTGAATCAATAATCCAAGACTCAATGAAAAACTTACCAGAACGAGTATCCTTGGAGGTTTGATTTCGTTCTTCAAGCATCTGTCGAAGCTGCTGCCATTGAGTGTCACTAAGACCGCTGATTCCAACCCGATCGGCATCAGTTAATGGAGAATTAGAAGTAATCGCAGAGTTGGCACTTACACCGGAGGAGACATGGTTTGCAGATGTACCACGCCCAACACTCTGTTTTCCTTTAAAAGAAGTTGCGGAGCCTCTGCCATTACCAGTTGCTGAATTATTGCCACGTGAAGCAGATGTATTGTTGCGATTGCGTAGTTTTTCTTCAAGCCATGGTGGATACCCGATCTTTTTGAAGCAATTTTCGGCTAAATGACCAACACGGCCACAATAAGAGCAGACTCTGTTTTCAAGTGAATCTCTGCTCTCGGTGAAAGTTCGTGTTCGTGGGGAAGTTTGAACCGCAAAGCTAACACCGTCATTCCTTTCATCGTTCAGACGACTCAAGGATTTAGACTCCTCGTCTTGAGTCAAAGTGTTGTATGCTTCCTCGAGAGAAGGTAGTGGAATGCGAGAGAGCAATGCAGATTTGACGGCACCATACACGGATTCGTCAAGACCCATGAGGAATTGATGAAGTTTGTCTTCCTCACGCTCTTTCCGAACCTCTTCCATCGTCTTAGCTTGTTGATAATCGGCTAAGCTCCTCCATAGCTGTGAAAGCTTCCCGTAATATGTTTCAATAGGTAAGCCTTTTTGGCGACATGTAGCTAACTCTGTTTTGAGACGTTGAACTCTTTGCCCGTTCTTAACTCCAAATCGTTTTTGAATGTGTGACCACAGCTCGTGAGAGTCGTCAAGATGAGACATAGAGGTGGAGATACTCTCATGAATGAGCTTCATCCACGAAACAACAAGAGCATTGTTAGCTATCCAATCTTCGAAGTCGGGATCTGTTGCAACAGGTTGAGGAATTGAACCATCAGCAAAGCCAAACTTCTTCCTAGCTTTTAAAGCTAAGCGCAAATTGGTGGCCCATTCATCGTAGTTGGGACCACGCAAAAGCGGTTTTGAGATCAAAGTGCCTGGATTATCGCTGGAGGTTAGGTCATATGGCGAGATAGTTCGCCGCACCGGTGCCGTAGTGGTGGTGAGAGCAGCTTCGGTGCTCATCGTGAAGGTGTTTTGTCAAAGAAAGAATTGATGACAAATAGGTCAAACAAAGGAAGAAGATAAACAGAATTTGAGAGAAGTGATTTCTTGTAGCGGAAGTAGAGATCACAAGATCAAGCACAAAACCTTTTAGTAGTTAGGTTTTTGCTCTGATACCATGTCAAAATAGGGATTGAGTTTGTAAAATATGCTTCTTATTAATTCTGTTCCAAGACCAAATGTCTTATATAGACGACGATATACATACGTTTAACCTAATGTGTTTTGTACAAGAAAGTAATTAAGTGGGCTAAGAGGCCTCATGGCCCAAGAAGAAGTGAGACTAGTAGAGGGAAGAAGTGTACCAACATGTCTCATTACGGCTGCAAATCGAACTTGAATCTTAGAAGTTGTGCCTATCTTTTGACACCTAAAGTACAAAAGATGTGGCAACGAAGGATCAAACAAGACTCGATTCCTCAATGGGACAGATTTCATTGCCCAAAACCAAGTTGCTCGGCTTGGATGTCGAAAACTAAGCTCTTTGAATCTATCGAAGAAGAGGGAGTTAGGAGATGTTGCTTTAAATGTCGTACACCCTTTTGCATCAATTGCAAAGTTCCGTGGCATAGTAACTTGTCGTGCGACGAATACAGGAATTCGCTTCCAAAGCCTACTACAATAGTGTGGCATCAATGTAGAAGTTGCCAACACATGATCGAACTATCGGACAAACTCTCTAAAATAACTTGCAGGTATCATCTCTAATCACATTTTATAGCTAATTATGATTATAATAAATCCTTTTTGGAATTTGATTAACTAATGTTATGTTCATGGTTAATGTGTTTAGGTGTGGCTATACGTTTTGCTACACATGCGGAGCTCAATGGAAGCTTAGAGGTTGCTCTCATCATCGCAAATTGGAGATGCATGTGTTGATTGCCTATTTTCCCTTTATTGTTTTAATAATTCTTTCTCGATTCATCTTTGGTTCCCATTGATAACAAATATATTGGCGGAATAAAAGAATCTAATGCCATTATGCAAAAAATTTACTAGCTAATAAAATTTGCATAATATTTATCAAAACGCAAAAATGCCTAGAAGATATAAGTAAAAACTCACTATCCAAATAAATGAATATAGTTGTTTATTTCGTTATGCTATTTTTCATTCTATAAGTTTTTATTATGCAAATATTCATTTTATGACTTATCTCATTAGACAATTACCAAGTGTCAATTGCTCAACCAGTAAAATGACGTTTGGGAGGGTACAATATAAAATACTTTGGTTGCTGGTCTGAGGGAAAAAAAAAATTATACGGTGTCTCCAATTGGTAACCACTTTTGAAGAAAAGAATGAGTAAAAATGTCATGTTCATCAAATTTTTTTACCATTTGTAAAGAATTTTTGTTCAATATTCAGACATGTAGATCCTATAGTTTTCCTCTTCATTCTTCACAAAATAATAGAACAAAATTGTTCCTACCAAAAATTGTAGAGAAACAAAGAGAACAAAATTATAAAATTCGTTTTTAATTATTAACAATTTGAAAATAGTTTTATGATAATATTTACTTTTCTATATAGAAATATTTTCCATATTTTATTATATATTTATATATAAAAAAATTTAAATGATATTTTTTAATTTAAATTAATGTTATAACTTTTTTTTAAATTAGTATTTGTACTTAAATAAATAAATAAATGCTTTCAACGGAAAATTTATACTACATTTTATTAAAAATTTATATAAAACATTAATTTAAAATAAAATTTATAAATTAAATAAAATAAATGATTTTTAATAATTACTATGTTAAATATTTATTCAACTTTTTGTTACCATTTTTACTATAATCATTTGTTCAATTTTTATATTTTTTTTGGTTCCTCGTTTTGGTCATATTCCTTTCCTTTTTGTTATATATATATATATATATATATATATTTGATAAATCCTATTGGCTGATCCGGTCAGCTCCGGTAGAAATGCACCGAAGTGCTTCAGAGTGGACTACTCCCGAAGGGTCACTACACTGTCTATCCCGAGTTTGGAATGCTTTCTGACTAATGCTAAGGGGTAGCCAGATCGCCTGTTACTGGACTACCAGGTAAACTTTCCACAAAAATGTGTTTTTTGTTTCCAGCGTAAATCGAACCGGGGTTAGTTCTTTCCAACATTTCCTCAATTTTCAAATACCACTGGACCACAGCCGTGTGGATTTCTTTCGTATTTTTATTGTTCTTTTTATGGTCACCATCCAAAAGTTTGGAATGCTTTCTGACTAATGCCAGATCGCCTGTTACAGGACTACCAGATAAACTTTCCACACAAATGTGTTTTATGTTTCCAGCGTAAATCGAACCGGGGTTAGTTCCTTCCAACATTTCCTCAATTTTCAACTACCACTGGACCACAGCCGTGTGGACTTCTTTCGTATGTTTATTGTTCTTTTTATGGTCACCATCCAAAAGAGATATTTATATTTTGAGATACTACTTTTCTTATTTCTTCCTTGAATTTTTCTTTGTTATTTTCTGGATTGTTTTTTTCATTATCATGAATATTAGTGGGTGCCTTTTTTTTGTTCTTTTGTATTACTAAAACTAGATTTGAACCCGCGGTACACATGGGCTATAATTTTTTTTTTAAAAATCTAAATATAATTAGTTTTGTTTATTAATATAGAGTATAATATAATATTTCGATCTATTTTATAAATGTACCATCCATATATCTATATTAATAGTTTTGAGTATATTAATTGTGTTTTAGGTTTAAATGGTATATCTATATATACACTTAAACGACATTTGGATTTCTTCTTCTTCTTGCCTCAGTTTAGGAGAAATATTTTTCTTGCGGTACACCGCAGAGCTATTATTTAAAAAAAAAGACTAGATTTTAACCCGCGGTACACCGCGGAATGATTTAATTTTTAAGTTAGTATAAAAATATTTTGTATATTGTATCTCCTTATAAAATATTTATTTATATTATAGTTTACAATTGTTATTAAGTAACGGTATACCACGAGTCCACGAGACAATTATTAATAAAATGAGTATTTAACCCGTATTAAAGCGGTACATAAATATTGATTCAAATTCGTCCGCCATATAAATCTTTTCCGAAATATAACTCGTTCCGTAATTTCTTAACCCATCCCGTGATTTGTTTTTATTTTAAAATTTAATGATTATTTATTATATATATAATCATTAAATTTTAAAATAAAAAATAAGGATTTAATCCGTATGTCTAATATTGGTTTTATTCAATCTTTTCTAAATGAGACTGATTTAATATGTCTAATATTAGTGGTATTAAAAAATAAGGATTTAATCCGTATTGAAGCAGCAGATTAATGATATTTTAATCTTTTTATTATTGTTGATTCAAAAACCCGTCCAGCCAAACCCGTCCCGCCAAAAAACTCATTTACTTTATTAATGTTGATCTTATTTATGATATGATTCTGAATCATTGTCTAAATATTTTAATCGATGTAGAACGTTGAACACATATTTTCGTCAATTAGATAATATATGTCCGTTTTTAAAATTTCGAATCACAGTATATGCAGAAAAAAAATTGATTTTTATTTTATTTATGTATTATATGATGATTCAAAACAGTTAAAAACAAATCAAACAAAGATGATGTGAGAATCATAATTATAAATCTTAATCAAATTTTCTAAATATCTAAATTATCAAATATGGAATATCCGGTGTATGAGTTGGGTTAAATATAACCCGACCCAACAATTTTTTTGTGAAAGATTTTAAAAAACGGGTCGGATATCCGATTAATCCAGAAGCATTTTTACCCATCCGTCACCAAAGTGTTGCAAAAATACTAGTATAGATTTTTCTTCCTTAAACTTCCAAATCTAGATTTTACCCCGCGGTACACCGCGGATCGATTTTTTTATAACTAAAAAATTATTTTGCAAAATTTTAAGTTGTATTTGTTTTGTTAATATTGTTTATTTTGTTTAGTGTTTCTAATTTTATAATTAAATTTTGATTTTTAATTCTAGGATTTCATCCATAGTATATTGTTTAATATTAATATTGATCTAAACCCGTTGCACCATATAACCCCGTCCCGTAAAATTAAACATCATTTGTTATTTTTTTTGAATAATATTTTTATCCACTACGGGTCGCAGGTTCATGCGGATAAGCCCGTAGAGAGTTGCGGGTTTGCGGGTGGACCCGCCAAAAGAGAAGCTATCTTTTGAAACCATTTGTTTTGTTTAGAGGTTTTAAGAAAATATCCCTAAAAAATAATTTCCATTATATGAAAAAAAAGAAGTAGAAAAAATTGTAGTATCAACATTCCCGATTTTTACATCACTCGTTACAATTAATTTTTTTTTTTTGCAGATAAAAATCAGAAGTTAACTAAGTCGAGATTTTTAAAAAGATTGTGTAGAGATTTTTGGTAAATTTTTGAGAACATATTTGATTTCAAAATCTTTATTTAAATAGATAAGGAAAGATTTTGTAGAGACTTTTGCTAAATATATGAGAAATGAATTTCAATTAAAAATCTTTACTTAAATAAAACAAATCTAAATAATTAATGCTAATGGCATGTCATTGTAAATACTTCTCAACTTCAAGATTTATTTGCTAATTATGATCCAAAAATGTATATATAGATTAATAAGAAAACAAAAAATCAACAAAATCCGATTGCATCTAATTACCTATGTAAACAATATCCCCCAAAATTGGCTTGTATAAGCTAATCTAATATTGTATAAACAATATTTTTAGTTTGCTTCTTTTCTTAGTTTTTGGTTTCGTTCTCATTCGATTTCGGCTTTAAAAGTTTATGTTGTTTTTAGCGTAGACTTAGATTTGGGGGAATTCTTTTTTTTCTCCGACTCTGTCTCCGGGGACTTTTCCTTTGTCCGCCGGCTTAGCTTCCCTCTTTTGGGCTTTAGACTCTGGGGTAATCTTTGTTTTCCGCCGGCTTAAGTATTTCACCTTGTATCCTATCTTGAAGTTTTAATAAAAATCAGATGACAAAAAAAAAAGGAAGCTAATCTAATAAAGTTGTTTAAAAAAAAAAAACAAAATCCGATTTTATTTGTTATTATCTGTAAAAGGGAAAATAAAATAAATAAATAAATAAGAGAAGACCAAAGTCAATCAAGCCAAGTCTTCCTCAGAACGCTTCGTATTTCCTTCTTAACCAAGGTAACAGCACTTTGCCCAAAAAAAAAAAACCAAGGTAACAGCACTTGCTACTTCTCTCCGTAGTCTACTCGAAACCCTAATGGCGGCGATTGAAGACGACGAAGTCTCACTGATACTCGAAGAACAGCGTGAAGAAATCATGGCGGCTAAAACCATAGCCTGCGACCACGATTTAGCTTTCAATCTCCAAATGCAAGAAGCCCTAGCGGTTTCTCGAGCAGCCTACACCTCCTCCGTCCCGGATTCTCCCACCGGAGACGCCGCAACCGTCGATTTCACCGGCGCGGAGGAAGAATTTGACTTCACTTCTCTGATTCTACAAGACATTGCTCGAGCCGATCAAGAGAGGAGAGATCGTGAGTTTGGTGAACAGGAGATGAAGAGACTCAAAGTTGATCTCGACCGTCGGATTCATGATCAGAAGTTTGCTAAAGAGCTTATGAATATCCCTGAAGGAGATTGGAGCAAACACGGTGACAATTACCAAAAGCCGTACTCTCTCGGTGCTGGGTCTTCTTCATCCTCTGCTATTGGGAATGAGAGCTTTAGGGTTTATTGTAAAGGTTTGGTGAGTGAAGAGATGATTGGAGATACGAGAGCTATGGTTGGTGGTGCTGGTGTTGCGATTTGTGATTCGACTGATAATTTGATTTGGGAAGTGAAGAAGGTTTTGGGAGCTGAAGAGTCTAAAAGCCCTGAAATTGCGGAATTGGAGGCGCTTCTTCATGGGTTAGATGAAGCTTTGACCTTTGATTTGGGAAGAGTTACGTTTTTCATTGATCATTTCAAGGTCTTCCAATACGTGAGTGATCTCTATTGAAACCTTAAAGTTTGTTATTTTAGAAATTAGTCACCTTTCATTGTTAAAAGAATTTGAATGGTTGTGTATGATTGTTGTGACTAATTTAGAAATTAGTCAGCTTTCTTGGACTTGCAAAGTTTTTACTATTTTAAGTTGCGAATTTGGTGTATTATAGTATTGTTCTTGTTTCTTTGTTTGTTTGTGGTAGTGGCTATGTCTCTGCATTCTTATACTTAGAAACCTATTATTTTTATTCAGCAATCAGCTTTCATTAAAAAAGAAAATGAATTTGTGTATGGGACTTTTCTGAGTATATCATCTCTTGAAGTTCAAAAACTTCTACTCTTTTTAGTTGCTAGTTTAGTGTTTTACAGTATATTTCTCTCCTTTTTTGGTTTTCATTTGTTTGTGATACTTAATGCCTATGGTTCTGCATAATCATTTCCAAATCTTCTAACCAGAATTTGGGTTATGGCATCTACTGGGTGCTGCTTGAGCTATAGAGAGGCACCATTGAATTATAGCTGCAAAACGTTTTAGTTTATTTCCCGTGCCTTTGTTTTTATTGAAACTATTAGGCTTTGATATGGCTGGTCATGTTTTGCTCTGTAATCTAGGTGACAGGTAGGGTGGAACCAAGGCAAAGCGCAGTTGCGACACTTGTGAACCAAGTGGCTGTACTCCAAAAGAAATTCTCATATTGCCAACCATCACTTTTGACAAGAAATGATGTTAAGTTTGTCTTCAAGCTCGCAAGAGGTGCTATTGTGTCTCAAATTAAGTGGCCTGAGGAAACTAGTAAAGGCAAGACCTTCAAGGAAACTTGTGTGATTTGTTACGAAGGCATCACTGTTGACAAGATGTTTTCGGTAGATGGTTGTTTCCACCGTTTCTGCTTTTCCTGCATGAAACAGCATGTGGAAGTGAAGCTACTAGGAGGACAAACTGCTAGTTGTCCGAGCGAAGGGTGCAAATCAGAAGTAAAGATCGAGTGCTGTGCAAAATTTTTGGATCCTAAGCTGGTTAATGTGATGATCCAACGCAAGAAAGAAGGCTCAATTGGTGTTACAGATAAAGTTTACTGTCCATATCCAAAATGTTCGGAGCTGATGGTCAAAGCCGAAGTCTTGGAATATACCAAACAGTTTTTCGTTGGTGCTGAGCAATCTGGAGCAAGAAAATGCATGAAATGTGGGCATTTTTTCTGCACCCAGTGCAAGGTACCGTGGCACTATAACGTCACCTGCAATGACTTCAGTAAAACAAAGGGCTATCAGAATGCTGGTGATGGAATGCTGAAGTCTCTGGCACAGAGCAAGCGGTGGAGACAATGCATTAAGTGTAACAACATGGTTGAGCTTGTGTGGGGATGCTACCATATAACCTGCAGGTACGCCGTTCTTACTTATTAGATTGATAAGTTTTCTTACAAAATAATTGGCATTGAGTCTACTTCCCACTTCCCAGTGGTAAACTAAGAAGTTATAGGTTATATATAATAAAAGAATTGGACTGCATTAGAAATTCCAGTTATTGGATAAAGAAAAGAGAGACCATGTTTGGTTAATTGTTACCATTATTGATTCAGTGATTTTCTTGTGGATTGCAGATGCGGATATGAGTTTTGTTACACATGTGGAGCTGAATGGAAGAAGAAGAAAGCAACATGTTCGTGCCCGATCTGGGATGAGCGTAACATAATCCGTGAAAGGAATGCGATCCCCCCTAGGAGGTGACTGGTTCTTTTGTTGCGTGAAAAAATTAGGTAGCTTAATCTGATTTTGGAATCAAAAGACCAGTAGTGGTTAGCTTGGGTTTTAGTGGTTTTTCGAGCTGATCCAGACTTCTTCGGTGTTTTAGTTTCGATCTTCTATTTCGGTTTGTTGATGCTAGTAAAAGAAATGACATTTTTAACTTGAATGTTCAAGATCGGAGGTTAAATTGAAACTTGTCATCTCCGGATGAAACTGAAATGGTTCTGTTTTTTTTTTTTTTTTTTTGTCATCTGGTGAAATATATTAATCCTCTTTACAAAGACAGATTGAAACAGGGAAACAAATCCACTGCATAACTAACGAAACATAAGCACCTTTAAGTTATAAGGCCTTTACAAAAGAATACTCTCAAAGACAGAGCAGATAATCCGAATCAACACAAAAAGCAAATAGCAGAGGATTACATTCTCTCACCAGTGAAAAGGGCGTTTAACCAGTACGGATGGCTTGACGCTACATAGGATTGAAGACGACATTCCTCAGTAACACTTTCCGCAATGAGACAAGCTCCTCTGTTTGCAGCTGATCCTTCCACCATTAATCTCCAGAATTGAACCAAACTCAAAGCTCTCCATATCTCTTCCGCATGATATTTGAAGGATAGCCAAGTATTTGGTCTCAAAATCGCACCCACCAGGTTTGCAGCATCTAAGGCAAAGATAACATGGTTTAATCTATGACTACACATGCTTTCAATCGCCCAAATCACTCACACCAGTTTTGCTTCATCCCTTGACCTAACATTGGAGAAAGCTCTTCTACTGTGAAGTAAAACCACCCCTTTATCATCTCTGACCACCCAAGCACCCCCTCCCAGGGAGTTTCTTTTGGACCAGGCAGTCCCTACATTGCATTTTAACCATCCTTGCCCAGGAGGTAACCAAACCTCTTTCAAAATCTGCACCTGCGGCTGATCTCCACCCACTGGATAAGAGAGATGAATAGAGTCCTCATTTTGCACAATCTGAGCCAAAAACCATACCTCCACATCCTGTTTAATTTTCAGAACAGTCTCCATAGGTGAGAAAACTTTACCCTAAAAAAAAAAGAGGTTCCTGTTCTTCCAAATCCTCCAAATTATCCAAGGAAAACTTTTCCTTAAATCACTTGGCCATTTCCTGTTGTTTCTGTTGATGAGGAAATGAGGGAAAATAGAGAACAGAGAACCAGAGAGCATACCATTTTCAGGCATAGGGTAATCAGATAAAGCCCATATCTGACGAGAAAGAGTGCAAGTGAAAAGGGCATGTTCAATTGACTCACCTTCTAGACCACAGCTTTGGCATCTGCTATCAACTTTCATTCCTCTATGAGAGAGTAAATCAGCCACTGGTAAGACACCACTCAGCACCTTCCACAGAAAGACTATGATTTTTGGTGCAGTAGTCAATTTCCAAATCTGTTCTTTAAGAGGGTTTAAAGAGGGCTGAATAAAAGCTTCATGGATTAAAGAATTCTGGTTAGAGACAACTGCCAGCCAATAAGCCGATTTGACAAAGAAATCCCCGCTCTTATTATGCCTCCAAATCCAGAAATCATTCATAGATTCGACTGGCTTCACCGCTCTTATCTTGATGACATCATCAGGGAAGAAATGTTCCTGCAGCTTATCAAGATTCTAATCTCTGCGATCAAAATCAATCAGGTCTTTGACCCAAAGACCAGGGTCAAAAAGATCATTCTTTATCCAAGGCACTCTGATAACTCCGTCATCTTCCAGCCACCTATCCACCCAAACTCTCAGAGAAGCTCCATTACCAACTTTTTTCATCATGCCTTTACACAGAAGATCTCTCCCATGTAAAATGCTCCTCCAGCCAAAGGAGGGACGCTGCCCAAGACAAGCCTCAAGAAAATGACAATCCGGAAAATATTTACTCTTCATAACCATTGCAAAAGTGCAACCAGGGTAGTGCAAAATTCTCCAAGCCTGTTTGGCTAGTAAAGCTTGGTTGAAAAGCTGTAATCCCTGAACCCCAATCCTCCATGTGTTTTAGGCAGACACATTTTTTACCAACTACGCCAGTGAATTTTCCGGTTATGCTGAAAAGAAATCCACCAATAATGAGCCATATCGTTGGATAGATTTGTACAAGTTGTTTTAGGCAGCTTGAAACAGGACATAGCGAAAACTGGCATTGCGAGGGCCACCGATTTAAGCAGAATCTCCTTTCCCCCTTGTGACAAAGATCTAGAGAACCAACCAGAGAGCTTATTTTTTAACTTGTCCTTGATGTAATCTAAAAGCTCCACCTTTGATCCACTGAAACATTCTGGCAAGCCAAGATAAGTACCAGCACCACCTTCACTATGAATCCTAAGAGAGACTTGAATATCCAATTTCAGAAAATCTGGGACCCTAGAACCGAAAGTGATAGAGGACTTGTGGCGGTTAATAGTCTGTCAAGCAGCCTCACCATAAACCTCAAGGATCCTTTGCAGCATTAGACCTTGATCCTTGTTTACTTTGCACAGAAAAAGACTATCATCGGCAAACAAAAGATGATTGATGATAGGACCACCTTCTTTGAATTGGATACCACTGATTCTTCCTAGTCTTTGAGCATAATTAAGGAGGTGTGACAGACCCTCAGTACACAAAACAAAAAGAAAGGAAGAAAGGGGATCTCCCTGTCTAATACCTCTTTGAGGGATCACCATTCCAAAAGGTTGGTCATTTATTAGGACTGAGTATGTTACAGAGGAGACGCAATACATAACCCAATTAATCCATCTCTCATGGAACCCAAGAGAACCCATCAAAGATCTTAAGTAGCTCCATTCAACTCTGTCGTACGCCTTGGACATATCTAATTTCACAGCCATGAATTCAGAGGAGATAGAGGCCTGGACATTGAGACTATGAACAAGTTCATGAGCTACCAGTATGTTATCTGAAATGAGCCTCTCGGATACAAAGGCCGTTTGAGACAAGGACACCAACTGAGGGAGAAAAGGCTGAAGTCTTTTGACCAGAACTTTGGAAATAATCTTGTAAAGAACAGAGCATAAACTTATTGGTCTGAGGTTGGCCATCTCTGTCGGATGAGGGATTTTTGGAATAAGACAGAGGTGGGTGTAGTTCCATTCAGCCGAAAAAACACCAGACTCAAAGAATTGCTTCACTTCACAAATAACCTGGGGTCCAACAATCTTCCAATAGTGTTGAAAAAAGAGAGCAGACATACCATCTGAACCAGGAGCACTGGAGGGCTTGATTGAGAAGGTAGCTGCCTTAATCTCCTCATCAGAAACAGAAGTCACCAAACAATTATTCATTTCTTCTGTCACTTTAGGCTGGAAATCACTAAACCAGTTAGCAAAGCTGGCCAGATTAGAGGATGTAAATAAATTATGAAAATAGGCACATGCCACCTCCCCTTTTGCAGCTTCTGACTTCTGCTCAATCCCATTCACATCCAACAATTTTTCAATTCTATTCTTTGATCTACTCCCTTTGACAGTAGCATGGAAAAAACCAGAGTTTCTGTCACCACATCTCATCCATTTTTCTGAGCTCTTTTGGCTCCAGAAAATCTCCTCATCTCTGTAAGCTCTAGCAAGTTCTCTTTTCAAAAACCTAACATGTTCTAACTCTGGAAAACAAGACGATTGTACCTTCTCTAAAGCAGCCTCCATCTGAAATGGTTCTGTTAAACGCACTAATCTCTTGCAGGTATCAGAGTTTTTAGTTTATTCAGATGTGTTGGTTTGGTTTGATCTGATCAAAAATTTGGTTTAGTTTTGAATCACTTTTTCGGTTTGGAACTGGATCCACTCTTTAACTCCAAGACTACAAGTGGACCAAGTGTCCAAGTCAATAGTACCATTATAAGTTCACAAAATTCAAAATACAGATTTCGAAAACAGAAAACGGACCTCGAAGAGAGTTTCCATGCAACATAGACCAAGTCAATAATACCATTTATAAGTTGACATAATTCAAAATACAGACGGTGTAAATTCCTAAATGGTGTCGTTTAAGTAACTAATGAAAATACAAACCCTGTAAATTAAGGTTATATAAAAAAATTAACAAAATTACTCTACATCATTTACTTCCGAAACGGCGTCGTTTACGTCGATAACGAGGTCGTACCTATTCCTTCACGAGCATTTCCATCACCGTCGCGAAATCTCTCGGTCAAGATGATGTCGCAGTTTTCTTTCTCAGGGGCGGCGCATGGCGATACTGTGCTTCTTTCCCATCCGCTCGATTTCATTTTGCGTATCTGGTGATGATTCTTAAATTGAGGAGATTCTTTTCTCTGCGCCATGGCGGCGAAGTAAGCTTCGCTTGAGTTTTATATATGATTCATCTGAAAAATGCAGCAAATGTTGATGCACATCTTTTGTTATTCAAGTCAAATCTTTATGATTTTTGCCACTACAGTATCTTGTCCGTTCAATTCTGTCTGATAATCATGTCAAAATTGATGGCTTTTTCATTGTTTGGAGTTGATGACAACACGAGAGCTCCAAATCATAGGTATCAAATTCCAAAGATGAGGACTTGGCGTGAACATGATGGAATTGCCTTTGGATTCAACTTGGTATGAATATTTACAAGTTTTGTTTTCTTGGACTATATATTTTTTCTTATACCTGCAAATATATTGGAGTTAAGAAGATAAATACTTATTTAACTAGAGATTCTGATTTTAGTATTGCGGGGCTTGTTCTTGATGATAGTGGAGAATATTCTTAAACCAGGGAATGATAGAGAAGTCTCAGTTTGTTCTATATTATAGCTAGCTTTTGTTTAATATTTTAGGAGATGAAAATAGGTGAAGGCTTTTTTCATTGTTGTCTGGTTAGATATATCATTACATTTCCTATGTCAACTCTGAAATGCTCAAACATAAGATGTTTTCATTGCTCTTAGACTAATTCAATGGATACAAGAAATGTTAAGAAATTATGGTGTATTTGGCATTGGAAAAATATTGGATGTTGTATTATATAGTGAAAAGGGTTTTGACCTGACCTTGTTTTGCAGCTGGAGAAAATTTCGTCGACCATTGGTGCAAAAGACAAAGATCCATTCGAATAGTTAGACTCTCTGTTTCGTCAGACATGGCTCAGATATTGCATCTGATCTGGATGATTTTCTGTGTTCATCTGCTTTGCATCTCAAGTCAACAGGAGACAGGGTTTATATACAAAGGTTTAGGCCAAACAGACCATGGACATGGAGGTGCCAAAGGATTGTTGCAGTTGACCGATGGATCCAGACTGAAAATGGGTCATACCTTCAACTCAACCCGATCACTCTCGTTCTCAACACAATTTGTGTGTGCACTGGTGTCTAAGGCAGGATTTGTTTGTGGTCATCGTATGGACTTGCTTGTACAGGTAGTCGTTTTACCGACAATCATAATGTATTTGGCTCTTGGAGCAGTTTATGTCTATGCGAGAAGGAGATACACAAAGCTAAGAGAAGAATGGGAAAAGGAATATAATGTTCCACGCCGTTTTACTTATAAATCTCTATATATGGCACCGAAAGGGTTTAACAAGGATGGACTTGTCAGAAAAAGAGGTTTCGGAGAAGTAAACAGAAGAACTCCGATAGAGACGAGAAGAGAAAGAAGAAGAAAGGAGAGGAAGAATCGAAACTGAATCAACTCTCAAGAACAATGTGGAAACTATCTGTGGGGTTCTTTCTCAATCTCTCAACAATCTGTTTTGAGTTCAACCGATATGTTGATATGTATACAACATATATTTGAAGCTGTAACAGAAGACTATTTATGCCACGTTATACAGCTCCTTTGCACTACTTGTCTTTGTATGTTTCTGTGTTTCCCTTCTTTCAATTTTGCGCAATGGAGAACCCCTTGAAGCTTCAGTGTAGTATGTCCACCACTGTCGCAAAATCGCTAGGCCTAGATGACGCTGCACTTGTTTCCCCCCACGTCTCGATTGCAGTGTGTTGACTGTTGAGTAATTCCTAGCTAGAAAACATTGTGTGTTGATTAGGGCTATATTGATTGATCTGCTCCCAAAAGGCAGCAAATGTGATGCATGTCTCCTGTTCCTCCAGTCAAATCTTTGGGATTTGCCACTGCAGAATATTGTCCGTTCGATTTCTGCTTGATAATCGTGTCTAATTGATGGCTTTTCCGTTCAAAATTATAGGTAGCAATGCTGAAGAAGAGAATGTCAGCCAAATTTACATTAGGAAGCTTTGGTGGGAATATGATGGACTTTTTAGCATTGTTCATATTTGGTGGGAACATGATAAACTTGCCTTGAATTCAGCTTGGTATGATGAAATATTTTTTTGATGTTGGTGCATCTGCCTAGACAATAGATAACTATTGATTGTTTTCTTGGACTTTGAATTGTGTACTCTGTTGGAAGAATTTGTTTATAATTGGAGTTAAGAATAGTTCAAGTATTTGACAAAGCTAGTAAACATACTTGTTTAACTAAAGATTCTGACTTCAGGATGCTAGGAGAGTAGTGGAGAATATTCTTAAGCCAGGGAATGATAGACAAGTCTCAATATTATAGCCACCTTTAATTTAATAATTTAGGAGCTGTTATGTATAAAATATGTGATTGATTAGAATATGCAAATGCGGGATGTCACTGGTGTCTGGTTGAGAATATCATTACATTTACTAAGTCAACTTTGAAATGCTCAGACATAAATTGTTTTCATTGCTCTCGACGAATTCAATGGGTAGAAATGTTAAGAAATTATGATTGACTTGGCCATGAAAAAGATTGGACTTTATATTATAGACTGAGAAGTTTTGACCTGACTGTGTTTTAATTTACAGAGGGATACATTATTATCCACCATTGGTGCAGAAGACAAGATTCGTTAAGAATAGTCAAACTCTCTGTTTTTGTTAGAAATGGCTCAAGGATTGCATCTGATGTGGGTGATCTTCTGTGTTCATCTGATTTGCGTCTCAAGTCAACAGGAGACAGAGTTTATCTACAATGGCTTTGGCCAAGAAGATCTTTATACTGATGGGGTTGCCAAAATTCTTCCTAAAGGACTGTTGCAGTTGACCGATGGTTCCGGACAGAAAATGGGTCATGCCTTCTTCAAGAAGCCTTTTGAGTTCAATTCATCTGAATCATTCTCTTTCTCAACACATTTTGTGTGTGCGCTGGTGCATAAGCCAGGATTTATTGGTGGTCATGGTATTGCCTTTGTTTTATCTGCTTCCATGGATCTCACACATGCAGACGCAACACAGTTCTTGGGACTTTTTAACATCTCGACTCAAGGATCCCCTTCTTCTCATCTTGTTGCTGTTGAGCTAGACACTGCCCTCAGTGCTGAGTTTGATGACATTGATGCCAATCATGTTGGAATTGATGTCAATAGCCTTATGTCTATCGCATCTACTTCGGCGGCTTACTTTTCCGAGATAGATGGGGAGAACAAAAGCATAAAGCTTTTGAGTGGACATCCTATTCAAGTTTGGGTGGACTATGGAGGAAATGTACTTAATGTTACGCTGGCCCCTCTTAAAATTCAGAAGCCAAGCCGGCCTCTTTTGTCAAGATCCATCAACCTTTCAGAAACATTTCCAGATAGAAAGTTCTTTCTTGGGTTCTCTGGAGCAACAGGAACATTGATCAGCTACCAATACATACTCGGGTGGAGTTTTAGCAGAAACAAGGTGTCATTGCAGACCCTTGATGTCACTAAACTTCCTCGAGTTCCTCGTCCTAAGGCTAAAAATAAGAGACCATCAGTGGTGCTTATTGTTCTGCTCATTTTTCTGGCAATCATAGTATTTTTGGCTCTTGGAGCAGCTTATGTTTACAGGAGAAGGAAATATGCAGAACTAAGAGAAGAATGGGAAAAAGAATATGGTCCACACCGTTTTTCTTATAAAGATCTGTACACTGCAACGAATGGGTTTAACAAGGATGGACTTCTTGGAAAAGGAGGTTTTGGAAAAGTTTACAAAGGAACTCTGCCTTCCAAAGGACAAATAGCAGTGAAAAGAGTGTCCCACGATGCAGAGGAAGGGATGAAGCAGTTTGTGGCTGAAATCGTGAGCATGGGTAATCTGAAGCACAAGAATATGGTTCCACTTCATGGGTATTGTAGAAGAAAAGGTGAGTTACTTCTGGTATCTGAATACATGCCCAATGGTAGTCTTGACCAATACTTATTCAATGACGAAAAACCGCCATTTTCATGGCGTCGAAGACTTGTAATCATCAAGGATATTGCTTCAGCTCTCAATTATATGCATACAGGAGCTCCCCAAGTTGTTCTCCACCGGGATATCAAGGCTTCTAATGTTATGTTAGACGCTGAATTTAATGGAAGGTTAGGGGACTTTGGTATGGCAAGGTTTCATGATCATGGGGCAGACCCTGCTACAACTGCTGCTGTGGGAACCATTGGCTACATGGCACCAGAGCTTTCTACAGGGGGAGCTTGCAAGGCCACTGATGTGTATGGCTTTGGTGCCTTTTTACTTGAAGTAACATGTGGGAGGAGACCTGTGGAACCTGGGTTGCCCGCTGAAAGATGGTATCTAGTTAAGTGGGTCTGCGAATGTTGGAAAATGGCTTCTTTGCTTGGAGCTAGAGATCCAAGAATGAGAGGTGAAATCTCAGCTGAGGAAGTCGAAATGGTACTGAAACTAGGGTTGCTTTGCACAAATGGTGTGCCAGAACTGAGACCTTCTATGGAAGACATTATTCAATACTTAAATGGAAGCCTAAAGCTGCCTGATATCTCTCCAAATTCTCCTGGTATCGGGTCCTATACCCCGCTGATTATCGGATCTAACCCCCTCCCTGTCTCCCCCAGTACCAACACCTTCTACTCTTCTTCCTCAGCCAACGACTCTACATTTGTCACTCACTCGATTGTCCATGGGCATGGACGGTAAACTTTGCTCATTCTGCTTGTAGATATTTTTTTCTCTGAATGAGAAAAGCCATGCTAGGCTTGTGTGAAAGTCCTTTGGTTTGGCATTGTGCTCTCCTTGTGAAATCTATTTTTTGATATTCCACAAAGACATCCAGCATTGAAAAGTAGTGTTTGGAGTCTTTTGTAGAAATGCTGTTTATGCTTTGTAAATTTTTATGTTTCTTTACACTTTACTCTACATTAGTTTATTGCATTTTCCAGTAAATAAGACCTTTGTACAGATGTTTATAAGTTGTTCTTCATTCTGTCTGCAAAAATGACCTCATTCTACTTCTCTGTACGATAAAAATATTTTGTATGACAAGCCCCAGAGTAGCAGAAACCAGAGTTCTTGTTCTTGGCTTGAATGATGCAATGACCTTCCATTTGGGGAGGGTCGGTTTCATTGTGATGGTTTCTGTATTTATGTAATCTCCGACTTTTTTAAATCCCGTGTCAAGTTAGTATATATCCCATCTTGTTCGAACTGTTGTTCCATCTACAAGTCGTGGAGTTCAGGGTTATTGTTGCTAATGTCGTTGCTATGAATTTTGTGGTTGTTTCATGCTCGTTTTGTGATGGATTGTCTAACTAATCACATTAAATTTTCATCTGTTCTCTTATATATTCCTCTGGTTTTCTTGATAGTTGAAATGAGGCCAGTTTCGTCTGTGGAGCTGAGTGGGATCACAAGAGAGCATCATCAAGTTGGTGACCCAACTGATAACAGAATTAGAGATGGTTGGTTGTTTGTTCCCATGACAGGTAAAGTTTAGAGGTTTATTCTTGAAACTGTTAAAGATATATTTATGTTCTTATATCTGTGACATATTCTGGTCTATGATAACAGAGGTGATTTCCTCATATTTATCATAACTCTCCGATTTCTAAAGGATCTAAAATATATGTAGCTAGTCTGAGACATTTGATCATCAAGTTTTGTGTCTTTTATGTTCCTTTATTGTTTGGGGGTACCGTTTACTTGGGAATTATGGAAGAACTTGCTATTGCTTCTTTAGGTCAATTTTATCGATGTTTCAGACGCGGTTCTGTGTGAACATAAAATAAATAGGACGATATGGACTTAAATATACTAGTGTGAGAAATGTGCTCTGTATTTTATTAGTGGTATTCTTATCACACATTATGGAGTCCATTTTGCATTGATGAAAAAATAAATAGGACGATATATAGACTTAAATATATTAGTGTCAGAAATATGGTCTGCATTTTAGTATATTTATCACATTATGGAGTCCATTTTGCATTGATGATTTTTCTTCTATATACACCAAGAAAGGTGTTAATAGGTAGCAATCATATTAAGAATTAGAATGTTTGGTTGTCGAAGAGAACTAAGCCGCGTCAAGACCCGAAAAGGGAACAATATGGGAGTTCTACAGAATTAAAATATCCCTTGAGAAGGTTAAGACTGCAATTTCTCTGTTTGAATTGCCTAAGCTTGATTCTATCTACCTACTCTAGGCTTAGATTCCTTTTACTTTTGAGTTTTTTTTTTTTTTTTTTTTTCCTGGCTAGGGATCATAACATTTAAAGATGATCATTTAAATGAATTTTTTCACTTTGTTTAGCAGTTGCCTTTGTTATTAACTGATGCTGGGATAATTTATGTTAAAGTAATGTCTGAATTAGAATATCTGGAAATCTGTAAGTGGCTCTTGATTTATATAATAATACAAAGCTGTGATAGTCCACCTTGTAAAGCTAATAAAAAGTAAATGATTATGATGCTGGTAGGCTGTGATTACCATATCCATTATCATAAGTTCATATCCTGTTTTCTGCAGGCACCAAAGTTTGATCAGTGAGGAAAAGATCTTGCACAGAGAACAATAAGCTATCTTATTCGTTAGCAGCATTAGCTCGTGAATTGCTTCTGATCTGGTATATTTTATAAGTATTTGTTTTCTTACTTAAGCATCATAAGAAATTAAACTAGTTGCTGTAGTATGAGGAAAATCCGGTGAAAGATTGTGGATACTGAATCCAAGACACATGTAATGATTAATTTAATAACTTTGTTACTTCTCAAGGATTGCATGAATTTGACCAAGCAAAGTTGGTTTACTGTTTTTCTACACATTGGCTCTGTTGAAAAGTTAAGGGGACTACTTAAGTAACTCGTTAACCTTTTGAATATGTATTATCTAAGTAAGTCTGAATGCTAGAACCAACCTGTACTCCAAGGTATTCAAGATTCTTTCGCGATTAATTTCTGCTTCAGTTGACCTTGGAATAGCCATAGAGATTATTAAGTGTCTTTTTCCGGTAGTATTTAATTTACATGATGGATTAGATTATGCAAAAACTAATGGTCTTTGCATGATTTTCTTTGATTTTTTTTTCATAGAGTCGAATTTTTTTATGCCTATTGGGAATATATTTTACCGTTATATGTCTACAATTCCAAAGGAGAACATGTCGGAAAATGTTGAGTGGAGGACATGGAATGTTGAAAATTGAGTTTGACGTCCTCTCCTGAAGTTGTGAATTGACCTTGTTTTGCAGTTGCAACTTCATAGATTGCTTGTTACCGGAGAAAACATTTATGCACATAAATTTCAGACTCTCTCTTTTAGTAGATATGGATTGTAGACTGCATCTGGTTTTGATCTTCTCCTGTGTTTATCTGATTTGCTTGTCAGGTCAACAAGAAAACGGGTTTGTATACAATGGCTTCGATCAAGCTGATCTTTTTATTGATGGGCTCGCCAAGATCCTTCCTGGTGGACTTTTGCAGTTGACAAATGCTACGGAGTTGAAAATGGGTCATGCTTTTTTCAAGCAGCCATTTGGTTTTGATCCATCTTCATCACTCTCATTCTATACACATTTTGTGTGCGCGCTGGTGCCTCCTAAGTTCGGAGCTGAGCTAGGCCACGGTATGGCCTTTGTTGTATCTCCTTCCATGAATTTCTCTTATGCGTTACCAACTCAGTACTTGGGCGTCTTCAACAGCTCAACAAATGTGACTTCCCCTTCTCATCTGCTAGCTATTGAGCTTGATACTGTTCAGACAGTAGAGTTTCATGATCCAGAAAAGGCTCATGTTGGGATTGATGTGAACAACCCGATATCTGTTGAGTCTGCTCTCCCGTCTTACTTTTCTGACGCCTTGGGGAAGAATATAAGCATAGATCTTCTGACTGGAGAGCCTGTTCAGGTGTGGGTGGATTATGATGGATCGTTGCTAAATGTTACACTAGCCCCTATAGAAATCCAGAAACCAAACCGGCCTCTTATATCAAGAGCCATCAATCTGTCAGAAATTTTTCAAGATAAGATGTATGTTGGGTTCTCTGGATCGAATGGGAGATTGACCAGTAACCAGTTTATACTTGGGTGGAGTTTTAGTAAAAGCAAAGAATTTATGCAGTCTCTGGACCTCTCTAAACTCCCCAAGGCTCCTATTCCTAGAAATGAACAGGCCCCCGTTCCTAGAGAGGAAAAAAATAAATTACTTCCACTTCTTATTGGTTTGGTCATCTTATTGCTGATCCTTGTGCTGATGGTTCTCGGAGGAGTTTACTGGTACAGAAGAAAGAAGTATGCAGAAGTAAGAGAATCGTGGGAAAAGGAATACGGTCCACACCGATATTCCTACAAGTCTCTGTACAAAGCAACAAATGGGTTTGTCAAAGATGCTCTTGTTGGGAAAGGTGGGTTTGGAAAAGTTTACAAAGGAACTCTGCCTTCAGGCAAGCATATAGCTGTGAAAAGACTATCCCATGATGCAGAGCAAGGGATGAAACAGTTTGTGGCAGAAGTCGTAATGATGGGAAATTTACAACATCGCAACTTGGTTCCTCTTCTTGGGTATTGTAGAAGAAAAGGTGAGTTGCTACTGGTCTCTGAGTACATGCCCAACGGTAGTCTTGACCAGTACTTGTTTTGTAACCAAAACCCATCTCTTTCATGGTTGCAAAGAATTTCTATTCTTAAGGACATCGCCTCGGCTCTCAATTACCTGCATACAGGAGCCAATCCAGCTGTTTTGCACCGGGATATAAAAGCTTCTAATGTCATGTTAGATTCTGAGTATAATGGAAGATTAGGAGATTTTGGTATGGCCAAGTTTCAGGACCCCCAAGCCAACCTATCTGCAACAGCTGCTGTGGGAACCATAGGTTACATGGCACCTGAGCTAATAAGAACTGGAACTTCTAAAGAAACTGATGTGTATGCCTTTGGTGTTTTCCTTCTTGAAGTAACTTGTGGAAGGCGACCTTTTGAACCAGAGTTGCCAGTGCAAAAGAAATATCTGGTCAAGTGGGTTTGCGAATGCTGGAAACATGCTTCTTTACTCAAGACCAGAGATCCAAAATTGGGAAGAGAATTCGTATCCGAAGAAGTCGAAATGGTTTTGAAACTTGGGTTGCTCTGCACAAATGATGTTCCAGAATCAAGGCCTGACATGGGACAAGTGATGCAATACCTAAGCCGGAAACAACCCTTACCGGATTTCTCACCAGATTCTCCAGGTATTGGGGGTTTTATGCCGGTTTCAGTGGAAGCATCATCTACCATTGGTATCCCAGATTCATCAATGCATGTTAGTCACTCAATCTTGGAAGGGTATGGAAGATGAGATTTAAGAAACTGGGTATTCTCTGCACCTAAATCTCTATAGCTACCCAAATATTTTATTTTTAAAGAATTAACTATGTTGCTGGTTGGGTTTTTTAAGTGATCTTGTCTTCTGTATAGTTTTTAAGTGAGAAAGGTATAAATTCCTTGATGTTGTGACCATCACCAGTTCACATGCATGTAATGAGTTGATTTGTTACCATCTCTCTTCCTTAAACCCTAATAAACAACATTTAAGTAGTCTTGTTCTTGTATTGGGATCTCGAAGATTTATCTAGGTTGATTTTGTAGCTTCGAGCGACGTAGGAAACAAAACCAGAAATGTTGAAATCAGTTTCAAGATCTAATAAGCTACAGTTTTTAAGCTAAATGGATGATGATCGAGTTTTAAGAGATGTTTGTTTATTTGATTAGAAAGTTTAGGGTATGACTGGTTTGTTCTATGTGAGACTTGTATCTGCCCTTTCATGTTTTAAGTTAAATTGGAAATCTTTAGAGGTGACTTCGTTAAACATTGTGACTTTGTAATCATATTCTAGGTAGTATCTTAATTATAGGGATTTTTACTCTGGTTTCAAACTTAGTTTACATTTCACTTTGCTTTGGAACGTTACATTAACTTAGTTGGAATTCATCAAAGTTTGACCAAGAAAAGTGCGTTTGCTTAGGATTGTCTCTGTTGAATATATGTGTTATCTAACTCTTGACTTTCTGAATGCTATAACCATCTTGTACTGCTAGAAGATAGAATCCAATTCAAAACCAAAACCTTTATTATGATAATAGAAAGATAGAACAATAAAGTAACAAGAGTATAAACTCCCCAAAGAGAACTAGGTTCTCTTCCCTCGGCCTAACCCGATAGAATCCTCCAAAGCTCTCAATAGCTTGGATAGGTCTTATTTATAATAGAACGTAAAGTAAAAGACTCTAGGAAAAGTAAATAAGATATTGGAAATCCTAAACTATTTCCAAGGAATTTGAGATTACTTTGGGAGTAGCATGAATTATGACGGATAAGATTATATAAAAAGTATGGTATGACATGGTCATATTTTCTTATATAACCATGAAGTCAACTTGGTGATGCCTATTTGGGTATATATTATTGCATTGGCTGACAACATTCTTTAGCAAATTGCTAGGAAAAGTGGAGGATATGGAACGTTGAAAATTGAGTTTGACTTCTTGGCCTCTAAGTTATTGCTAGACTTTGTTTTTTAGCTTGAGAGATTGCTTGTTACCAGAAAGAAAACTTATTTGCTTAGAATTCAGTCTCTCTTCTTCCGTAGCAATGGCTTGCAGACTATATCTGGCTTTGATCTTCTCTTGCGTTTATCTGATTTTCCTGTCAAGTCAACAAGAAACCGGGTTTGTCTACAATGGCTTTGATCAGGCAGATCTTTTTATCGATGGGATCGCCAAGATCCTACCTGATGGACTTTTGCAGTTGACAAATACTACAGAGTTGCAAATGGGTCATGCTTTCTTCAAGAAGCCATTTGATTTTGATCCATCTTCATCATTTTCGTTCTATACACATTTTGTGTGCGCGCTGGTGCCTCCTAAGTTGGGAGCTGATGGTGGCCATGGTATCGTTTTTGTTGTATCTCCTTCCATGGATCTCTCTCATGCATACGCAACTCAGTACTTGGGGGTCTTCAGCAACCTAACAAATGGGACTTCCTCTTCACATCTACTAGCTATTGAGCTCGATACCGTTAAGACAGTAGAGTTTAATGAGTTGGAAAAGCCTCATGTTGGTATTGATTTGAACAGCCCAATATCTGTTGAATCTGCTCTGCCATCTTACTTTTCTGGCGCCTCAGGGAAGAATATAAGCATAGATCTTCTGAGTGGGGAGGCTATCCAGGTTTGGGTGGATTACGATGGCTCGTTGCTAAATGTTACACTGGCCCCTATAGAAATCCAGAAGCCAAATCAGCCTCTTATATCAAGAGCCATCAATCTTTCAGAGATTTTTCAAGAGAAGATATATGTTGGGTTCTCTTCATCAACAGGGAATCTTCTTAGTAACCATTATATACTTGGGTGGAGTTTTAGTAGAAGCAAAGAACAATTACAGAACCTGGACCTCTCTAAACTCCCTCAGATTCCTCTTCCTAGAGAGGAAAAAAAGAAATTATCTCCACTACTTATTGGTTTGGTCATCTTATTAGTGATTCCTGTGCTGATGGTTCTTGGAGGAATGTATTGGTACAGAAGAAAGAAATATGCGGAAGTAAAAGAATGGTGGGAGAAGGAATACGGCCCACACCGATTCTCCTATAAGTCTCTGTACAAAGCAACAAATGGGTTTCGTAAAGATTGTCGTGTTGGGAAAGGTGGGTTTGGAGAAGTCTACAAAGGAACTCTGCCCGGAGGCAGGCATATAGCTGTGAAAAGACTATCCCATGATGCAGAGCAAGGGATGAAACAGTTTGTGGCAGAAGTTGTAACCATGGGAAATTTACAACATCGGAACTTGGTTCCTCTTCTCGGGTATTGCAGGAGAAAATGTGAGTTGCTTCTGGTCTCTGAGTACATGCCCAACGGTAGTCTTGACCAGTACTTGTTTCATGACGAAAACCCATCTCCTTCATGGTTTCAAAGGATTTCTATTCTTAAGGACATTGCATCGGCTCTTAGTTACCTGCATACAGGAACCAAGCAAGTTGTTTTGCATCGGGATATAAAAGCTTCGAACGTCATGTTAGATTCCGAGTTCAACGGGAGGTTAGGTGATTTTGGCATGGCCAAGTTTCACGACCGTGGAGCCAACTTATCTGCAACTGCCGCTGTGGGAACCATAGGTTACATGGCACCTGAGCTAATAACAATGGGAACATCTATGAAAACCGATGTGTATGCCTTTGGTGCTTTCCTTCTTGAAGTAACTTGTGGAAGACGACCTGTGGAACCTGAGCTGCCAGTTGGAAAGCAATATTTGGTCAAGTGGGTCTCCGAATGCTGGAAACAGGCTTGTTTACTCGAGACCAGAGATCCAAGATTGGGAGGAGAACTCTTACCCATGGAAGTCGAGATGGTTCTGAAACTTGGGTTACTCTGCACAAATGCTATGCCAGAATCAAGGCCTGCAATGGAACAAGTGGTGCAATACCTTAACCGGGACTTAGCCTTACCAGATTTCTCGCCGTCTACTCCAGGTATCGGGGCTTTTATGCCAGTTTCAATGGATGCATTATCTGCCATTGGGGTCTCCAGTGTAAGGAATTCATCAGTCTCTATGTTTGTTACTCACACGATCTTGGACGGGCATGGAAGATAAGATCTAAGAAACTGTGTACTCTCTGCATCTAAATCTGTTTGGCTACGTAAATGTTTTAACTTAATGTATTGACTATGTTGTTGGTTGATGTTGTTTAGGTATCAATTGACAAATAAAACAGTTCTTCTAGTGTTTGTAAACTGACAAGTTTTTACTAGTTTTTTGGCAACACCTGAAGAACACAATTCTCTATACAAAATTCAACTAATTAACTTTATAAAAACAAGATAAAAATGAACAATTTTAACAAATCAACTTACAAAATTATTAATTTTTCTATGGTGAAAAGCAGAAATCAAATTAGAGTGAAGACTTGTCTCTCTGTCTATAACCTAAGATTTGGGGTGATTGACAAATCATCTGATCCAAACATAAACTTCTTTCTACAAAAAAAATTTTTTTAAAAAAAAAGAACAATTTGATGTCCTCTGAGAAAAAAGAAGACAGAAAAAATCTCATCTTTATTCACCAGAAACTCCGAGGTATCAAAGACGACCAGCTTGATTCTTTCCCAGTGTCAGAAACAGATCCAGAATACCTTCGAGACTTATGAATCCTCATTTTAACACCCGGAACTTTGCGTGCGATCGCTTGCCATATCATTTGGACTGCATCATCTACCTTTGACGGGAAATGGAACTCATAATATTTCTCCACTTCCTTTAATCGATTCCACATTCGTGTCCATTCCTCTTTGCTTATTCCTCTTATTAAGTTAACCAAGAAGTTCTCTTTCAAGGCATCAGAAGTGCGAACAAACACAGCGAACTCAGAGTAATCAATAACGTCCTCAAAAGGAAGCTCAATGTCGTCACTGATAATGACAGGAACGCAGTGACTGGCAATGGCGTCAAAGAGACGGTTTGATGAAGGAGTGTCTCCAGCAATGTTGAGGCAGAACTTGGAGTTGTGCATTCCTTGGCTTGCTTTGTTTATGCCTCCGTTTCTCACACTCCCAAACGAGAAATGCACGTCTTTCTCATCTTGCAACAGGTAGAATAACTCCTGACGCACAAACCCGCCCTGAGATATGTGACACATTGGAGCAAACCATATTTAGTGTTTCATCAAGAGGACGCTAACTTGTGATGGTAATATAAGTAGAGCAGAAACAATATCTCAAAATTCAAATGTCTGAATCTGAATTGTTGAAGAACAAAAAACGAAACAAAAGCACTAAAACAAGGTAGCAGAAGAACTCACATCTTTCCTGTAGATGGCACCCTGAAAGTAAAGCAGAATTGGTCTACTATCGAAACCAGATGTATCGTTTTCATATGCTTTGATGACATGCTTATAAGGCGCGATAATATCTTTCTCAACGTTTGCCACAGTAGGAGGGTACCTTCCAAAGTCTGAGAGTATAAACATTGCAGGAAACAGCTTATTTCTAGCATCCAACATACTATTCGGATGATGAGCAAGAACAACATGATCTCTACCACCCGATCTCTTCCACTCCTCTTGACCAGTCAAAAACGTAACCAACTTCCCTTGCAAATCCTTATTCCTACTAGTTTTCTGATGAGGATTCACTTTCGAAAACCGATTATAACTCAACGAAGAAAAAAACGGCACAAAGATAACATCAGCTTCACTAGAATTATAAACACGCTTCGCAGCAACAGCTCTCGGCGCATTCTCATACTCCGATGCAAGTAAATCCAACGTCAACCAATACTCGATACTATGCTGTAAATTCAATCCTCCAGGATAAGGCGGTATATACTTCTGAATATCAGGCCATACACTATCACTACCTTTCTTGTTCCCATCAGGTTTCCAATCTAACAATCCGAAATGAAACTCGGGATCCATATTATACATATAAACCTTCAAAGGACCCGCGGTTACCGACTTCTCGTCTTTAACACATCTACAATTCTCTTTCTCCGGTTTTACGCCTTTCACATCCACGAATGATTTAGATGGAAATGTAGAGCTAAGGAATCGATTATGAGCAGTGGAACGTAACACAAAGTAACACGAAAGAGCAAAGAGTATCGTCGTGACGACGAATAAGCATAGTAATAGATTTCTAGCTACATAACCAACTGCAGAACCATTCTTCTCCACCATTGCCATAATCAATCACACAAAAGAGAATCAATCAACATACATACCCAGAAATTAGGGCTTCTACATCACAGAATCAGCTCGAAAATTGTACGATTATAAACCGAATCATCAATTCTAGGTTAAGTGTTGTTGCGAGAGTTTTGCTCGATTCGAGAATGGAGAAAATGAAAACTCACGTTTTGAATTGAGATGCGAAAGCGAGGTTGGTGCTAAGAGGAATGTAGAAGAAGAAGCTTCTCTGTGAAGAATTTGATCGCTCATGGAGAGAGACAATGCGGCGGAGAACGAGGAAGAACAAACGGTGTTGAAGAAGCTTAAAGCTTTAGAGATAGAAAAAGTTTACTATAATTAACTCTTTTAATTCGTGTTTATGGATTTGTTTGTTATGCTTGTTTTTTAATGTATACAGCTTTTTGTAATCAATTTTTTTTTTCTCTTTTTATATGTTTTGTTGTACTTTTTTGTTTGTAATGAAGTAGTTATGTAAGAAACAAATTTATTAAATTAGACTGGTTAACAAAGGTCGGACCAAATTTAGGCTAAACAATTATAGTAATATAAGTATAGTTTTGGATATTGGAATATAAGACCAAATTAGGATCAAGAGCCCATAAGGATTAATTGTTGATTTGCCCCCAAAAAAAAAAAATTGTAGATATTAAGTTTAAGGAATGGACACAAAAACCATTAAACCAAACCAATTCAAAATTCAATAATCTGAATTTTATCAAAGTTAATTATAAAATGTTTTTTGGTATAAATATACGAATAGAATCCAAATTTTGGGTAACCGAAGTTAACTGAAATTAAATAAAAATATATTTTATATTAAATATGTAGCAAATTAGTAAAAATTTATAATATTAATTAAAATCTTATAATAAGTTACAATTAATATTTTATCATAAACATTATCAAACCCAAACAAAATCAAAATAACCATAAAAAAAAAAAGAATTAGTTGTAGATATTCATTTTAAGGAATATATGGACACAAAAACCAAACCAATTCAAAATTCAATTGTCTGAATTTTATCAGTTAACTATCAAATGTTTTTTGGTATAAATATACAAATAGAATCCAAATTTTGGGTAACCAAAGTTAACTGAAATTAAGTAAAACCTATTTTTTTATTAAATATGTAGCAAAATACATTTACTAAAAATATACTATATTAATTAAAATTTAAAAATAAATTGCAATCAATATTTTATCATAAACTTTAGTAAACCAAACCAAAACCGAATAAACATCCAAAATTTTCAACCCAACCCAAAATCGAAATTTGAATCATGTACTTTTCAAAATTTTGAAACTAGAACCGAACCAAATCGAAATTTGAATGCTTAGGCCAAATCCCTTTCTTAGAAGGCAATTTTTTTTTGGGAATTGTATGATCTTAATTTTCACATATTTGCTTTTGTTTTCGGCTGCATTTTTATAATTGTAACAATCATCCATCTATTTCTATATAAAAAAAATAGAAATCATTTGGATCTTTAGAGTGGACCAGTTCATCATTCGTATAAAGCAAGAAATGGGTTTGACAAAGTAGGGCTTTTACTAATCAGATGCTTGTTAAGCACGTTACCCCACTCTTCTCTTCCAATTGACTCACTCGCCAGTCACCACACCTTCGTCTTCATAATCTTTGTCTTCTTGCCTTAAAACCAATAATGGTTTGCTTTGAGGTTATTTCGCTTTAATTTAATTCCGACTTGTCATTGTTAAAACCAGTGTTCTAAAAAGCGGTCTAGGCGGTCGCCTAGGCCCCGACTAGGCGCTAGGCTCTCATGCGACGCCTAGATAACCGCCTTGACCACCTAAAACTACATACATTTTGTTTAATATTTTTTTTAATTTCAATTAGAGTTTTATTTATATATATAGTTATAAATATTCTTATATTGTTTAATATAAATATAAATAAATGTTTTATCTAGTTTTTGTTTATAATTTCATAATTTTTGGTTTTATATAGATATTTTATATAACTTTTATATATAATATCATATTTATAATGTTTTATGTTATAAACGTCTAAACCGCCTAAAAAATCGTCTAGGCCCCGATTAGGCGTTCTAGGCGCTAGGCACTGGGTCACCGCCCGCTTAGCGCCTAGCGCTTTCTTGAACAGTGGTTAAAACTTAAAAAAAGAGTAGACCATATACTTTTCTCAAAGAATTTTAATATTAGCAGATTTTTAAACGAAGAAAACTATTATTTTAGAGTAATTATTACGGTTATATATAATCAAAAAGTCTAATGTCAACTCTTTTGTTGCATAGAGGGAATATATTTCGTGGACTTAGAACGTAGAAAATTGGGTTTGAAGCCGTTCCCTTATAACCAGAACTTGTTGATTTTCGAAACTCAGAACATAAACCAAACTTGTCTGTGTTTTTTACCATTAGTCCATTACCAATGGCTCAAAGATTGCTTTTTCTTCTTCTCTTCTTGATTTTCTTTGTTAATCTTATTCGTTTTTCAAGTCAACAAGACTTAAGTTTCATCTACAATGGCTTTAACCAAGACCAAACTGATCTTAACCTTGACGGCTCTGCAAAAGTCCAAGATGGACTTTTGCAGCTAACCAACGCCACAACTCAGCAACAGGGTCATGCTTTCTTCAACAGACCATTCGAATTCGGTTCAGCGTCATCTCAATCTCTTTCTTTCTCAACTCATTTCGTTTGCGCTCTTGTCCCTAAGCCGGGAGTTGTTGGTGGTCATGGGATTGCTTTTGTTCTATCATCTTCAATGGATTTTACACAAGCAGATCCAACTCAATATTTAGGACTCTTCAACATCTCAACTAATGGATCTCCTTCTTCTCATGTTTTAGCTATTGAGCTTGATACGGTCCAAAGCGCAGAGTTTGATGATATCGACAAAAACCATGTCGGGATAGACATAAACAGCCTCCAGTCCGTTGAATCTGCTCCAGCTTCTTATTATTCAGACAGAGAAGGGAAGAGAAAAAGCTTGAAACTCTTGAGTGGAAATCCTATTCAGGTATGGATTGATTATGAAAATACTCTACTCAATGTTACTTTAGCACCTCTAAAAAATCAGAAGCCAAGTAAGCCTCTTTTGT